TACCCATCGCCCTACAACAGGCCTTCCTGGCCAAACGCGTGGACAACCGCCTGGATTTGTGGCGATTTTTGGGCGATCTTGGCAGCAACACTCTACGACGATTTGATGCCATCCGTTACATACGGAGCAGAGACTTCCCACCCGCCGCTCTCTATGTCCTTCATCGCATAGCCACACACCTGCCTGAACCACACCACCAGGCATGCCTTTCCGCCATTCGATCCAGTTTACGATTCCGGGGCCTCATTCCACCTGGCCCCTCCAGACCGATGCTTGCACCCTTCCTCGCCTGGCGACTACTGCTAACCTGGTACCGACAACGACAACCACACTCCTCTACCACACACCTCACAGTGGACACACTTGACACCTCTGCCATCACCCGCGTCTACAACGGACGCCGTCGCCGACACAAACCCACACAACGCACCCTGTGGCTCGACGACATCCCCGAGATCATTCAGGCCACCCTTGACATGCAGATCTTCTCTGTCGGCCTTCGTTCATTCAGGCAAACACGTGGGGCACCGATGGGATCCCCCGCGTCCCCAGCTCTCTGTTTGATGGTGATCGCGGTCGCCGAACAATGTTGGACCAACACTCACATCACATCGGGACTTCGCTCCGTTGAAGATACTCTCCTACTCCGCTACGTGGACAACAGACTCGTGATCGCAACCCCCAGGTGGCTCTCGACTCCGGCAGCCAACATACTGTGCGACGAACACTTCTATGGAGGAGACATCTTCCTGGACACAGAAGCCGCCCTGGACTTCTTGGGGTTCCGACTGAACCTCACAAGCAGCACCATCTCCTTCATCCCCTCGCATGAGAAGCACAACATGCTCTCCGTCAAGTCAGCCGCACCACTGATGCATAAGGAATCTGGATGTTATTCCGGACGCACGCTGATCAACCGAGTTTCCTTTCCTGAGTTTCAGCGAGGTCAGGGTCTTGCAATGTTGAAGAGGTTGCACCTCCAACACGGTTTCACCTTACAAAGAGAAGAAAAACCGTCCTTTGCGGAACCACACTGGTTTTCTTCTCTGCCTTTGCATCCTGACAGATTTGACCTGATTTTCGCGCCGCAGCTGTTTGACTGTTTGACCAAAATCCGTTACGAGCATGGATACCAACACAGCACGCCAGCTGCTCCAAGACTTCGAACTCATCCTTGGCATTGCCCAACAAGGCATCGCCACCATCCGCGAGTTCCCTGAGAGTCCGCCTGCCGAACCTGATTTGGCACCGGAGGCCACGCTCAACCCCGCCATTGAGGACCTCTTTGAGCCACCTCCTGATGCTCCAGATGAACACCTTCCCACTGATCATGACGAACAATTCCCTGATCATTGGGCTCCGCCCACCCCTCCTCCGTCTTCTCCCGGCGAAAAACGAGCTCGCCGCGCACGTGATTTGGCCTCCTCACGATCTACGGCATCCAAAACCTGCTCGTGGACCAAGCGAAGCTACCACATCGACCAGGACTGATGCCTCTACTGAGGCCGAACCTGAAGCCTCGCAGCCTTGGACTGAGGGAGAGATTGAACTCCTCCGTTCCCTTAAGACCAATTCCAAAGCCAAGTATGTGTGGTCAGTCATCGCCACAAGACTTTCTCGCACAATTGATGCTTGCAAGACTCAATGGGCCTTGCACAAGTGATGTCGCCCCAGTTGGGGCTCCGTGTGTGTGAAGCGTCCTGGAGCACGGACGGAAATTCCACATTGCAGGGGGACTGGAGCCGATTTGCCTATCCAGTCCAATGAAGCTACGGCATTTCGGTGGATACCGGATCTGATCAATCCGGCGTACCTGCCTATTTCCTGACCCTCTTTCCTGATTCCTTTTGCGGTTTCTGTTTGTCGCTGTTGCTTCCTGTTCGGTGTCGATGTTGTGACCTGTTGATTTGCGTTTGCATTCAAGCATTTTTACTGACTGCGTTTTTCATCTCGGCTAGTGAAGCCTCTCGAGATAAGTGTGTGTGTGTGTGTGTTTGTGTGTGTACGTGTGTGTGTGGGTGCGTGTCTGTGTCTCTGTGTCTGTTTGTCTCTGTGTTTCTGGTTTTCTCGGGTTTGTGTTTCTGCGTGTTTGTGTGGCTGTGTGGCTGTGTGGCTGTGTGGCTGTGTGTGTGTGTGTGTGTTTGTGTTGGTGGTTGCGTGTGATTTTTCGGTGGCGCGATTTTGTTGGCGCGGTGTTTAGGGAAAGCAAAGGGAAACTGGAAGCTTCGCATTCTTGGACGATCCCCTGAAAAGAAACTGTGATTTTGCGGTTTATCCTGCAAACTATCTGCATACAATATCGTTTCGCATAGGCCATCTGGTCTCCTGTAAGTTAGTTTCTGTGCTACGTCCTTTCATAATTTCTGCACACAGTATAATTTTAATAATCCCAGGCAGAGAGGGGCCATTTGTCCTTCGTGCCCCAGTGCTGTTTGCGGCGCGCTGACCACGTGAATGTGCGAAATCCGGGTTGTGAGTTACCCCGTGAGCCAGCCAGCTAGCTGGCTAGCTCGCTGGCTAGTTTGGACTTAGCTAGCTTGGCTTGGCTTGGCTAGTTAGCTGCTTGGCTTAGCTAGCTGTTCCCGAAGCGAAGCTGCTTAGCAAATTCAAACGCAACAGCACAGGAAGTTTTCGAGGGTCGAGCCCATGAAAACCCAGAGAGGCTTCACGTTGTGGCTGCGCAAAGTCAACGCAAAGACAAACACAGGCAAAGTGAGACACACAGAGCTTTGATGGTTAACCACACAAAAATCCGAAGAGGGTTTACCATGTGATCTGCCAATTTCATGGCGAGCTCAAGTGGTTGTAAGTGATGGTTGCGAAGCACTGCGCTCCCAATGAAAGCGCGGCAAAATCGTTTCATTACCACGGAAGTTCGCATTAGGCTTCCTTAGGCTACATATCCCTTGAGAGACAGCTCGTGAACCCATGAGCAGTATTGGCAAGCAAAGGCCAAGGGAGACATCAACACAAGGGCCAGGTTCTTTGAGCCCAAAGGGATCTGGACCCACCAAAGTGAGGCCAGCGTTCTGCTTGGCTTACCTTAAGACAGATTGCTTGGGGACGCATCTTGCTTTACATGCCGCCAGGACCCATGGTCAAGTGGATCTGGCAGCTATGAGAGCTACAGCTCAACTGGAGGATCCGGTTCAGGATCCGTGACTCACGGCTCAGGCGGATCAGGCTCGTACTCCGGAGGCTACCATAGCTCAAACGGGGGATCCGCATATTCTGTCCACCACTACTACAACTCAGGAGGGTCTGGAGGCTCTTACTCCAGTGGCGCAGGCTCATACAGCAGTGGTGGTGGAGGCTCATATGATGGCCACTACAGCTCAGGAGGGTCTGGAGACTCCTACTCCAGTGGCAGCGGCTCATACATCGTGACTGGAGGTGGCGGGAGTGGGTCATATGACGGCTCGTCAGGAGGCTCGGGAGGCTCCTACTCCAGTGGCGGCGGCTCATACCACTCTGGAGGCTCTTACTCCGGTGGCGGTGGTTCATACCACTCTGGAGGCTCCTACTCCAGTGGCGGCAGCTCATACAACTCTGGAGGCTCCTACTCCGGTGGCGGTGGCGGGAGTGGCTCATATGACGGCTCGTCAGGAGGCTCTGGAGGCTCCGGTGGCGGTGGCGGGAGTGGCTCATACGATGGATCTGGAGGCTCCGCCTCCAGTGGCAGTGGCTACCAGGACTGGCCCACCCGTTTGACAGTGCAGATGGTTTGGGTTTGTTGCGTTGCTCGTGCTCTATATTTCAATCCATTGGACCTTGAAGAAGGGGAGTGTCTTCTGCAAATGCAAGACTTGATCTATTGAGCAAGCATCCCTTGATGTGTGCAGTGCTTCACCAGGACAACTTTTGGCAAATCTTGTAGTTCTCTTGACTTGCTGGCTCAACCAGCCATCCGGTTTAGCTTTGTAGATCCTTTTAGTGCTTAGTGGTTTCCGAATTTGACCCACTGAAAGTTCGCTACACTTTTCGAGGGGGATCGATTCGAAAACGGGCGGCCCAGTTGACCATGATTTGCCGGTGGCTCTCTTATTCCGCCACACTTGCAGCTGTTTTTGCTGGCTCGGCATGGGCACCGCAGGCAATTATTTCCCAGACATGATTTTGGCGTCAAAGATCTGAACCTGTCCGAAACTCAGGTGCACACCCGTGCGAAACCATTGGCCTTGTTAATTTTCAGGGTTCCATGCGGTGTGTTATGTGTTCTTATTTTTATTATTCTTATCATTATTATTATTATGATTTTCCCCCGAAAAGCCCCATGTTGCCCGATTCACATTGCTCCTTGGCCGAAGACTCACTTGCCACTAAATTCGAGAGCAGCTGTGAGTTCCAGAGCAGCGAGCAACATGAACCGGCCAAAGTGAAGAGTCTGGGTTCAGAAAATAAATCCCGAGTCCATATGCCAGATGTAGTCTAGGTCCCCCAGTAGTGCACTTTTACTCTTTTTGGGGGGAGGGTTCCCCTACTAAAATAGACTTCAGAAAAAAAAGTACCCTTATTCTAACCTCTCTACCGGAGGACCTAGTAGTGGTGTCCCACGGACTACGTCTCGTCTTTGAACGACCCAGACGGTCTACCATGCATTTCAGAAAGACAAGAAAGACCAGACTGCCAATTCATGTGCTGCTGCCCAGGTGGATTTTCCATGCAAACTCCCCAACTTGCGTCAGTACAGCTCACTGCCTCACGCTCAGTTCAGTTCGATGGATGCCACTCTTGTTCAAGCAGTGTTTTGGTTGGACGGTGGAAATTGACCACCTCAAAAGTCATGAACCCCCATGTCAATGATGTCCACGTCCCCCAGTTCTTCAAAAACAAAAAGGAAAAAAGACAGACACAGCAACCACCGCAAATGTTTGTGCGATCCTTTTTTTGTTTTGTTTTCGTTTCGCGCCAACAGCTGCATCACCACGACAAAACGACTAGTGCCTTGGTCCTGAGTCGGATCCACTTTCGGGCGATGACTCGTCTCGGAGTGCCATGACATGCAGTCCTTCTATCAAGCAGAGGCGGCGAGTGCCCCGGCAAGGGAACCCCCCCCCCCGGAAATGGGCGGCTCATCAGTTTTGGATTTGGTATGCCTCTTTTTGCTGGTTTTAGAGGAACACCAAAAGGAAAACCGTAATGTTTTGGGGCGTCCCCTAAAACAAGACGCCCGCATGTTCTTGCTTTGCGGAGATTCCAGTGAGAGTTCTTTGTTTGGGTTGGAACGCATGGTGCAAGGGGAAACCAAATGAACACCTCCGGCTTTGTCTTGTGAGTGGCTGTGCGTTTGGTGTGGGCGGTACAGCTCGCCTGTGTGGGAAGGGAAACCAACGCTGTGAGCCCTTTTCAATCATGCCCATGGTGTCTGTGATATTTTTTTAGGGGGGCAGCGAGCAAAGAAAAAGCAGCAACTTTGAGCAGATGATCTGGCTGGGCGTGGATAACTCAAAGTAAAGCATTGCCTGCTTTACAGATCAGTGATGGGAGTTTCAAATATGAGGGATGGCTGGGCATATGGTTGATCAGAGGTTTTCAACAGCGGTCATTTGGATTTCGTGTCACGTACGGCATGTTAATCCGGCTTCGCAGTTAGCACGCATCATGGGAGGCGGGAGATAGACGCAGTACAGTGTGCTTAAAATGGGAACTCATGAGGCGTCGGCACATGTATACATGGTTTGGGCATGCTGAAAGCATGTCATGATGGACTTGGTGTCTTGCAGACCAGAACTCACCTTAGGCACCACTTGTTTAGGTGAATTTCATTTGAGCACCCAAACTCCCAGTCCATGTCGCGAGGTTTTAAGAAATATCTTCAGGGTGCTTCTAGGCCCACAAAAGCCGCCAAGTTGGCAGACCGAAGACGTTCTTGCGCTCCTGACGTCTGTAGTTTGAGCTTTCAGGCGCTTGAATTGGGATCAGAGTTGTCAAGCGGATCCTCGGGCAATGGGAGGTTTGGGGACAGCCCTCGGGATTTTTCTTGACATCTGCTTAATTGACAAGCAAGCTCACCGATGCGGGGGTAAAACGAGTTCATGGTAAATATCCTTTACTTGGGGATCCAAGTTTTTGAAATTTGTAAATGTAGCTGTTTGCATGAGATCTGTCTTAGGCTTTTGGGCGCAATTAGTAGCCCTTGGTTTAAGGAGCCCTAGGTGTCAGTAGAACAATTGCATGTGTGTGTTGTCTTTTTTGTTTGGGTGGGGCACATGGCGCCGCACATGGACAGGATCAGCGACTTGTTGCTTGAGTTGAACTCTGCAATCAACTCTGTGAGCCGGGAGTGAATCGTTGTTTTCCTTCATGTCAGACCTAGCAATCGTTCCATTGCGAGTCAACGGATTTCTACTTCTTTTTTTTTGTGGGCTGACAGTGAAGGATCGAAGTTGGGACATGGGACCGACAGTTGGCTGCACAGAATGGGAATGGTGCCACTTTCACCCAAGCTGACGTCTGAAAAATATCTTCTGGATTCTGACCCCTCTTTGTCCTTGGTTAACATCTGGGATTCAGATGTTCATGAGAGCGGTCGACGGACAAACAATGCACATTGTCGGGGGGTCTATGTGTACAGGCATCTAATATATATATATATATATGTATATACACATACATGTGCATACGTAGACTTAGCAGTACCCAACAATGCATAAGATTGTTCCTTGACTGCTATTGGGTTGGATCTTCAGACTTTAACTATTTGGTTGAAATACATGTGTTTTCCGCTAAACCCCCCATTATTGTTCACTTGTTGCACGGGGCCCGGGGGGGTCGTTGCAGCAACCAAGTATGTGCACCGGCATGTAATATATACAGTATATATATATATATTATTATATATATATGTATGTTTTGGTATACGTAGACGTAGCAGTACCCAACAATCCATAAGCTTATTCTGCCACATGAGCCACAATCAAAACCCGGGTAGATGGAGATTAGTAAGGGGCAGTCCCAGCCAAAAATAGTTGGCCGCCTTCTTAGTTCTTCACGTGGTTCTGGGTAGGCCAATTGAATACCGGGGTTTGATTGTGACTCACATGTTTCTTTCTGGTTCTGCGCTCTTTTGTGTGCGTTTGGCATGCATCCAAGGCGGCTTGGCGAGCAGCTGCTGGGCCAAATTTCAGAGGTGAAGGGTCGAAAGCACTCAGATTGTAAAATCTGGGTATTTGGTAGAGGGTTTCCACACGGTGGGAAAGTGGGCCGTTTGGGTATGGGTCAAAATTACACCACCTGGATATGGGCCGCAGCTGTTAGTCCTTGTTTCCATTTACCAGGGTGCAATTGCTGGTACCTATGTTTGACGCACGCCCATATGGGTGTCTTCTATTTGCTGAAATGATTTTTTTTGAATTACCAAATGCTCCCCCCCCCCCCGGCTACCAACAACAAAGACAGGGCCGCTTTGCTTTGGTGGCTATTTCTTACAAGAGCAACTGTGGACATTGCTAGCTTTTTGGTTCGGCGAGGACATTAGGTGGCGGCCCACTGATTTGTTTTCCAGTAAAAGTCAGGGGCAACCCAACTTTCTCAATGTGCGCTGTGGGGAAATGCTTGTGTGTGTCATGAATACCTTACTCAGTTGCCCAAAGCCGACCTTTTAACCTTTTGGTCTTTCAATTTCGGTCTTTCTTTCGTAAAGGCCCCAAAGGGTGATCACCTTTTATTTCTAAGTCCTTTGGGCGACTGAGCTTAGACACACCTGATGGACATCGAGAATTTCGACAGCCATGGGATTCCTGAGGGCACGCGGCCATGTCACGTATACGCTGATTCCAAACCAGCGGAGCGGATCCACAACACCACAACACACGCGTACCACCGGCTTTTTGGAGGGGCTCCATTTGCGCAGAGTTGATAAGTCCGCATACTTGTAGAATATATAGCTTGTCTTGCCGACATTTGCAAGTTTGCCCCCTCATTGGATACTGTAGACTTTATTGTGTCCCCAACAACCTTGAACATTGTTGAAAGCTCTTCTAAGGCATCCTCTTCGCGTGGTATGAGTCTGTAGAAGCAACGCCGAGCTGCCGGGGGGGGGGGGGGAAATACCCATAGGTGTATACACATAAATCAATAATACACACATAATCTACATGTACACATAATATGCATATGTCTGGACAAATTATAGCGAGCTCAGCCGAGGTACGAGGTAGCTAACTGGAAACAACGAGGCGAGGTGCGAGGTGGAGATTTGAGAACTAAGCTTTCAACCCATTTTGGGATTGGCTTCAGCAAAATAAGGAACCCCTATGAAAGAAATCTTGGGGCCCCACCTGCTGGTTCTCAAGGAGTCGTTTCAGGGCTCGGACCCTTTCTTTTTGAGCGTGTCCTGGAAACCCTCAAAAACGACACTTTTTTGAAGGCTGGCGCCCTGGAAACCCAGCAATGCTTGGATTTAGCTTTCTGTCAAATGCGTGTTGGGCGCCTTTAAAAACGTGGGAGAAAGGTTTCTGCCCCAGCCCCCCCTTTTAGCAACACAGATGGGCGCGCGAAAATCTTCGAGCTAGTCCCCGAGGCGTCCCACGCCGCACGGGTTCGAATCCTGGTAGTGTTCTTTTTTGCCGCGGGGAATCCCCTTTGGAAAAGGAGGCCCTTTTTGGCTCTTTTGAAGGACGCCTTCAAAAACGACTTCTTTTTGGAAAAGGAGCACATTTCCACATGGCAAGTTGCAAATGGCAGGCTGCCCCTCGAAGCCCTGAAAAACAACTTCTTTTTGGAAAAGGAGCACATTTCCACATGGCAAGTCGCAAATGGCAGGGGTGGTCTGGCAGAACCTTTCAATTTAAATTTCCCGGGCCCCCAAAAAAACATTACTGTTCGTCGTCGGCAACCTGTTTTTTTGACCGTGGTGAGGCTGCCCCTGGAAACTCTGAAAAACGACTTCGTTTTGGAAATTTCCACATGGAAGGGTTCAGGGTTCCTCGGAACACATAGCCTGCCCCAAGTGCACCTGCCCAGGCTCCCAAGGGATTTCCATGAGAAGGCCCCCAGCGGATTTCCATGTCGTTTTTTGAAGGTACTCTTTTTTTGTGGTGGCAAGGCATTTTCCGGGGCATGGCTTACGAGGCGTTATTTCTGGAGGGTGTAACTGACGAGGCGGGGTGGTAAATCCAGATAGTGAATTACGCTAACGAGGTGACGAGGTGAGAATTATTATAATTTGCCCAGATATGTATGTGTATTTTGTATTTTATACACTTTTCCCTGGAAACAAGGATGCAGAACGATGTCATTTTGTTTTCGCTTTGCTTTGTTGCCTGGGTCCCCCAGTAGTGCCCTTTCTCACCCCTTTTTTGGTTGGGAGGGTTCCCCGTGTCTAAAATAGACCACGGAAAACAGTGTACACTTATTCTAACCTCCAAAACTGGAGGGCCTAGTTAAGAATATTTTATTTTTTCTTGATGTTGGTTTTACAGGGGATTGATTTCTACTGCACGTATTTTTCCTTTTCCCCAGAGAACTCATTGCGGATCGACCGAAGACGTGGCAGACGAGCGAGCGGAGGCCTGTGGCCCAAGAAGGGGGCGCCGCCCATCTACAGCTCCCTGGGGCGGCGCTCGGAGGAGGCGCTGGCCAGGGATCGCAGGACCGGAGTGGCGTGCGTTGGCGTGAGAGTTGGTGTCGCCAGCGATCGGTGCCCCTGTTTAACCCCTTTTTTGGGAGAGGGAAGGTGTTTCTGTGTTTAGTTCAATATAGACTACAGAAACAAAGGGTACCCTTGTTCTAACCTCTCTACTGGAGGACCTAGACTCCATTGGCTTGGTTAGTTGGCTGGTTTGGCTGGCTGGGTGGGTGGGCTGCTGGCTGGTCGGTGGGCTGATGGTTTTTGTTAGTTTGGTCAACCGTAGGCGCGCACGGCTTGGTGTTTGCTTGCATGCATGGTTTCATGCCTGCCTGCTTGCTTACTTGCTTTCATATGTGTTGATAGGCTTTCCTTTGCATCACTTGCTAGAGCAAGCCGTGATAATTTGTCATGCGCTTGGCTTGCTTTGCTGCTACTATGTTGGTTTCCTCATGTATCGTTGTTGGCTGGCCGGGGTTCGATTGTCACTTCTCTGCATGTTGCAATTCGGATTCTCCGCAGTCGATGGCTGTGCACGAAGAAGTGCCCAACGCGATTCGAGCGCCTCAGCATGCCGCAGGCTTGACGTTGAGCAGTTTTGCCTGTGCTTTGTGTTGGGCCCGGCAGATAGGTTTTGGCTGTGGCGTTTGTTGCGCTTGTTTGGTTGTTCTTCGGCGGATGCTGGGTGCTCTCTTCCGGAACAGCCCAATTCTGGCACCTGATTTCGCAGGCACCGTTGAACCGGGGGTCTCGGCATAAGTACAACTGACAAACATGCTTGTAGCTTATTGTCAGTTGGGACGAGGACAGGGGAGACAACCCAAATTTCCCCCAAAAACCAAGGCACAACCCAAATTTCCCACAAAATCCCAGGCATGTCTTTTGGGGAGTACTCTTGTCCGGGGCTGACTTTTGCCTTTCGGTTCGGTTTGGGATGCGGCGTCCGCTCGCCACCAGGATCCGTGATGCCGCGTCCTTCTCGGAGCTCCTGCACGCGTTGCAGGACGGATGGCATGCGATCTCGCGTTTGAAGCCTTTTTCAGAAGGAGGATTAGCTCAGTTGTTCAGTGGCTCCCTTTTTCCCCTTTTTTTTGGTGGCTGCCACACTAAAAATGGTCTTCCCAAAAAAAGGGATCCTCTTTTTTTTTCCAGGGTCACTGAACAACTGAGTTAGCGCCACGGCATGAAGATGTTCATTGGGAGACTTCTGAGTGATTCTCAAACTAGGGGACCTGCCCAAATGGAAGGTTTTTCCTTTAAGGCAACCGCAAAAAGGGCACCCAAAACTGACAGACCCTTCTGGTATTGGAAGCATGTGCTGGGCCAGTCCCAATGGGGCCCTCGTTATTTTGGTTCCCTTGAGGGGGCAAGTGGGTTGAACAACATCTCGGTTTTCGAAAAAGAAATACATCCACTTCCATTGGAACGAGTTTGCCTGGTTTTCTTGGTCGGAGATGCACAAATTTCGGGCTTCAATCAGTTCCCTCATGGCTCTGATGGCAATTTGGTTCATGGGGTGTGTGTTTTCGTTTCCAGGCCTTTGAGGCAGAGAATCGCCGGGCAGCCATTATGGCGAGGTTACGACAAAATCAGCAAGCTGCGGCACAAAGAAAGCCTTGGTGCAAACATGCCCCCTACTCCAAATACCCGGCCTTTTTTTAGTTTGTATTTTGGGGAAAAAATGGTTTTCCACAGTAAATACATCTTTTTTAGTAGAGGGTCGACATCATACCCCAGAAAACGAGGGTATTTGGAGTAGGGGGTGTATACACCAAAGTCAGCAAAAGGAAAAGCCATTTTGGTTGGCATGCCGTGAAGTTTAGCTTTGGGCCCTTTGGATGTGTTTCATTTGTTACATTTGCAGCTCACCAGCAAGACGTACAGCATGCAGCCTTACAAAAGTCATGCTGTGACTTGATCCCTGAATCACTTCCCAGAAAGAAGCGATGCGAGCTCGCACCGGTTCCAGCTAGAGGTTCAATGGAATGGCTGGAAGCTTGCCAAAATAAATAAAACCAGTGGCTCGCAAATGTTAGGGTGCATGTGTTCGACATGCCAAGGTCTATGCCAGGTGGCTTTTAGTTTGCGTAGAAATCGATGGCACTAGTTTAGATGCATTTACCAGGGCCACCAATGTTCCGAAAAGGTCGCCCTGCGTAATGTTGACCCCATGTTTATAAACCAACTAGTTTGTTAATAGGGGGTGTTGTTGGGTGACATGTGGGGGAATCAGACAACTTTTGGAGGGAAACACCCCTTTTAATAAACTGGGAATGAGATGTCACTGGTTTAGATGGGTTTTATTTTATTGCCAGGAGGCGAGGGTATGGAGTAACGCAATGGTGCTCGGACAGTAAAAGACCTGGCCGGGCCATCAAAGTTTGGGCGGGTGCAATCCCCCCAAATTTACCGGTACTGCTCACGCCGTGCCGTGGCGACCACAACAAGTCCGGCTATTTCATTTGCCAGGGCCATCTATTTGTCCAAAAGGTCACCTATGGACATCATGCGTAACGCACAGATTTTCCAGTCATGAGCTCCATTCCATTCCTTGCAAGGAGGGCCTGCCAGACTTCGACGAAGGGAGCTTGGTCATTGCTTTCTGCGTCGGAGCCAAGCTGGTCGATGAGAGGCCGCTTGCCACACTTTGCGCTCTGCAGACCGGGGAATGTTCCATTGTTTAGACACGAGGAGGCAAACCCTGCAATAACATGAAGGTTGCCCAGCAGGAGTATTCTTCACACGAGTCATACGCAGAGCAACTTGTGAAGCCTTCTTACATCGCTCGTGCCGGATATCAGATCTGGATCCATTTGATGGCTTGCTTGGGTGGGAAACACAAGCACCTGCCCCATGGGACTCAGTTGGGGCCTGTGACTGGTTGCAATTGCTACACCAATATGGGTAATGGCTCAAAGTCAAAGAGCTGGGACCCAAATCTCTCACCCACAAGCGAGAAGGTAGGCTCAGATTCACTCGCGGGGTCGGAAACGCCAGGAAAAAAACGAACCACTTTGGCCGGCCCTGGAGTCTCCCTAAAGACCCTTTAAAAAAGGGTCCATGACGCAAAATAATGGTTGGTCATGGATCATGGACCCATTTTTATTTCGGATCATGCAGACTCCAGGTAGGGGAAATGTCTCCTTGGAACCTCCCGAACTGGGCATTTCTTCCCCGTCTACGCATGCGCTGTGCGGGGGTCGCCTGTTGCGTTGGTTTGGGGGTGATGCTTAAAGTGAAAGGGGAGGATCCCTGGTCCCCCAGCTAGGTGCCCTTTTACCGTTGCGTTTTTTTTAGGAGGGTTCCTTTACTCAAATAGACTACAGCAAAAAGACATCGTTGGTACCCTTATTCTAACCTCCAAAACTGGAGGATCCCTGCGGCAGTTGTGCCCTTTTACCCTGTTTTGGGGGAGGGTTCCCCAAAAAAAGGGTACCCTTTTTTGCAACCTCTCTACAGGAGGATCCCTGTAGCAGTTCATGTCGCACTGAGGTCCCTGGCATCAGTGGCCTCTTTGCCAGTCTGGGCAAGCCTGCAACAGCGTTTGCGTGACGCAACGCACCGCTTGGCCGCTTGGACGGCAACAGGCAAAGGGCAAAATGCATGCTGAAATCTCCCTAAGCCCCAAGAAGATGTTCTTTTGTTTGTACTGCCCCTTTTAAAGGGACGATGCTTCATTTATTTCTCCCCCTTGTAGCAAAAGCAGCAGGATCGTCATGCCATGTTTGGGAGGAGTACCGCTTCGTCAGTCGGGAAAGGGGGGCAATGAACAGCACAAAGGGGCATCCAGCCCGCACTGGTTCACATTCCCCACATAAGATCAACTGACAACATGGTTGATAGTCTATTGTTCGCGGGGAACGAACAATTTTCCCACCGTCTTGGCGAGTCTAAGGGGGGTACCTATGGGATCCCATCCGGAACGGATTTCATGGTTCAATGGTTACCCCATTTGAATATGTGTGTGTTTTTTTTGGAGAGGGGGGGTACCCGTTTTAGGTTGGTTTAAAGAGAAACGAAGGAAACTGTCCACTTGTGGGCTCTGATTCCTGTTTTGAGACAAGCCCATCTGCCATTGCGCCCTTGCTAGCAGAAGTACTGCGTCGGCACTCCTCCGAACTGACGGTTTGGTAGGTGTCGGTTCCCTGTTTGAGCATCCCTAAACATAGCCATGTTCATTTCCAAGTCGAGGGGGGGGGGGGGGGGCAGATGCCACAGGTACTTCAGCCAATACTAGCCGTACGTCTTGGTTTGTTCTTAACAGGCCAGCATTATTGGGATTACAGGTTGTTTGCGACCTCATGCATGATGAAGTCACGGGGAACCCATTTTTGGATTTGCGCATCAATTCTTTCACAGGGCTCCTTAAAAGATACATTTGCAACCGTTTGAGACATGGTGCTTTTTTTCAACAACAAAATAAAGTTGGAAACCACCATGTACAAGTGGCAATGTTCAGGGTGTTTTTCATGTAAGGATCCCTGTTTCAGATATATGTGTGAACCTTCCTAAGCAAAGTGAGCTTGCTTGATGAGATACCGGTCCTAGAGGTGGGGCATTATCAAACCCCAAGTCAAATTTAGGGTGAACTCATGGTTGTTGTTAAGAACACTTTTTTTTACATTGTTGCTTATTGTGGTTTAGTGGTTGAAATCCAAATCCACAAAAAGCTGCTAAAAATCAGATCAATTTTTGCTCCCCTAACCCAACGTCAACCAAGAGTTGTCCCAACCAGAAAAGGTGCGGATCTCCGCCCGACTCCGCTTCTTGTTTTGTGTGTGTTTTTTTTGGTCCTGTCTCATACCCGGTCTTGATTCAGGTCTATCCGCTTGAGTGCCAGACCGCTGATGGACCCTGGTATTTGCATACATATCTCTCGAGTTTTGGGAGGGTTCAAAATTCAGTTTCTGAATCTGGGTCCCCCATTGCTTTCGCTGTTTGCAGGCGTCAAAGTCGGAAACAACAGCTGCTCAAACCAGCTTGTGTCGCACAATTCAAATGACCCTCCGCGCCCTCCCAAGCCGTGGACCACTCCTGATCAAACAATTGAATTCTGATGAACTGCCCTAACATGCCCCCCCCCCCCCCCAAAGACACCAGGGATGGAGGTTGACAGCCCTGGGCGAGGTGTTTCTTGGCCAAAGGTGCAGCCACGAATTCCAACAGGGAGCATCCTCCACAATGGTTGGCGCGTGCTTAAATATTACGCAACTTTTGTCCACCAAAGGCTCGTTCATACCCACATGGACACATCCGTCAACCTGTTCCGAGGGGACCCCCAATTCAAGGATCTGGAGCTGGGGCCTATGGGACTTGTGTTGAGCAGAAACTTCAACCCCAAAACGGCGTCACATCCTGGGAAGTTCGTAGAGGGTTTTGAATGAACCTATGGTTGTTTGACAAAGCCGAATTGAGGCCAGAGGGAAACCAAAGAGCAACCGTGGAGACCTGCCACCTTCCCTTCACTGTTCTTGGCATGCTTTTTTTAGTTTTAGTTGTTTTTTTGGTTCTGTTCATTTTTACTGGGGGGGTCTGCAAAAAACAGTCAGTTTTTCGCAAGCCCATACCAAGAGTCGAGATGTTCAGGGCTTGGGAGACTTCTGGGTGTTTCTCAAACTAGGGGACTTCCCCAAATGGAGGGTTTTTCCTTTAAAGCAACCGCAAAAAGGGCACCCTCCACCTTCCATTTGCAACATGTCTTATGTTCCTCTGGCTTTCAAGGAACTCGATCTGGACATATATATTTTTTCCAGGTATCTAGAGTTTCCCTAAGGACCCGAAATAAAAATGGTGGGTCAGACTACCCAAAATAATGGAAAGGGTCCATGGGACCCATTTTTATTTCGGGTCATAGAGACTCCAGGTAGGTGTGTTTTAGGTTCCCTTTGGCTGTTAAGGGATGTTTTTTCTACTGGACCGATGTTTTTTGTCCAGGACGACAAAACAAATGAGCCACAATTAAACCCGGCTAGATGAAGGTTAGTAAGGGACAATCCCCTTGCCATAAATAGTTGCGGATATCCGCCTTTGTATTTCCTTACATAGTTCTGGGTCAACCATGTTAATACCGGGTTTTGATTGCGAAGGTATGTCTTTTTGAAAATTTCCTTGGTTTCAAGGGATGCTTTTCTGCTGGACCTATGATTTTTCTTGACCCACTCAAAGTTCGCTACACCTTTCGCGGATCCGAAAACAGAATGGCAGCCCAGTTTTCCAGGGCGAAAACGCCGAAAAAATGCTTCGACCGTCCTCGCCGAAACATCTCACGGCGGGTTCCGTGGGCGTCGCCAGGAGCCAAGGGGGCTGTCCATGGTGGCCTACGCCTGCGCGAAGATGGCCTGGCGCGAGGCGTGTTTTTTTCTTCATCAAAGCCTTCAGTTTAAATAACTAAAAACATAAATAGATTCATTTTTATGCGTTTGCTTCAGTTTAAATAAATAAATAAGCTTGGTGGCTCCCAGCCATCCGGTTCCTTAGCTGCGGAAGTGCATTTCATGTACTGACTGTGAATACAGATGTTCTCCATTTGCTGAAATGATGTTTTTTCTTTGTGTGTGTTTTCCCCAGTTGGTTTTACCGGGAATGTATGACTACTGGAAATAGTTTTCTTTTTTCCAGGGGGCTTAAGCAAATATCAGAGGTGCATTTTGCTTGGATGTTAGGACTTTAGCTGTGTGCCTTCTTTAATGGGTTTTCCCAAATAAAATGGACTTCTACAAAAAAATCAAAAACTAATAACATCACCATTTTCTAGGGGTAGCTTCCCCATTCTTTTTCCAGGGATCCTTCTTTCTAGAAGACCTTCGGGCACCCAGAGAAACGGCCGGTCTTCGAAAAGAACAAAGGTTGGAAATAATGGAAAAGGAATCAACCCTTAGATAATAAGCAATATGTTATTATTGTCCCTTTTCTCGGGATTGATCGGCAGGCAACACCTTCCAAAGTCTCAAGTCCCTTTTGCTTGGTGGTTCAATTTTAGGTTGCTTTAGTGGTTTTGAGTCTCACTTCACGAGTTTCTGGACTTTCAACTGTTTGAACTTGGACTATTTCAGGGGATAAAATGTTTGGATACTTGCTTTGGGCCATCCACTCGGGAAGTGAGGAGTGGCTTCCCTTCGCTTGGTGGTTCCGAACCAGCCATCCGGTTCAACTTAGGTTTCTATACGGGTTTGCCTGCCAGCCGGTTCAACTTAGGTTGCTTTAGTTGTTTGAGTGGGTTTAGTGGTTGGATTTCCATTTCACCCACTCAAAGTTAAACTTCTAGCAGGGGATTGGAGGACAGAACAGTTTGGTTTCCCTCAAAACCAACTCTTTTGCAATTTGCCGAGGCATGTCACGCCCTCAAAATTCCCCTTCGATTTCTCTTGACGCCAACCCAAGGCAACTCCAACCAACAAAAACACCACATTTAACAAATTTGCCGAGATGTCCCTTCAATTTTGCTTCACACGAACTCCAAAAAGGCTTCACAGCAAACCAGCCGCCAGATTGAATAGCACGGCAATGCGTCCAAATATATGGTTTTTCGTTGTCCCTTTGCCCTTTGAACCCGTCCCAACGCGGCAGTACTCACCTGCTGATGGGTTTTGTCCATGGGTCATCAAGGGCGTCCAGAACCCACGTGTGATCAACACAAAAGGGGATTCGTGTGGAATGAAGCATCCAAATGGCCCCTTCACTATAATGGTACAGTAGGGTGGCGTCTCTAGCTAAACAGACGGCCTGCCCTTGAATTCGGTTTTGGATGTTTCATCAGAAGCCAACCATTTTGGGGGATCACTATCTTGAGAACCCCAAAGAGACGGCCTCGTTTTTGCCTGCCGCTAGGAAGCGTTCCTGCGTGATGTTGCGGCGGCATCGACGAAGAAGGCGAGCGAGCTCTGAGGTCTTAGATCGATGATCAGGTTTTATGGGTATAGTCAAATCCCAGTGTGCGGTCTCCATTTTGTTTGGTGTGTGTGTGTGTGTGTGTCAGACAAGGCTCCGTCCAACTTGTTTTGTTTCCTTTACGAGTGCCAACCAAGTTCTCTATATGCTACAAGCTGCCTGCCGCACCCGGGGCATCAATCACACAAATACCTGACACCCTTCATGTAATCCCCCAATGCAGATTAACATAGGTGTGGGTCAATATTAAACCACCAGGAATTGGACCGCATATTTTAGTCCATGTTTCCATTTACCAGGGCAAGCCATTTTGGGGTTACCCTATTTTTGACCCACAACCACATGGAGCCAAGAAAGCGGTGTCCCAAAAGGAGATTCCGCGAATACGATGTTCTGTAGGTTCCGTGTGAATCTGCGGTACTGCAGGCAGGGTTGGAGGCCTTTTTGCAGGCCCCCGACTTCGGGTCGACGGACATCGCCAAGATTTGCACCTTTGGCTGACCTACTTGTTGTTTGAGCCGAGCTTTGGTGGATGTTCTGCATGACTCCAGGTGAGCGTAACTGTTTTCAAGGTTCTGAAGATATTGCACATCTTTTGTGCGACATGACCATGGTTGTTGTTAAACCACTTTTACATGTTTTTGTTCCACAATTTTGCTTATTGCGGTTTAGTGGGAAATCCTCCTTAACTGCAAAAAACAAGTGTTTGGCTCCCCTTCTAGCATCAACCAAGTAATACCAGTGCCTCAGCCGCCAAACACCTGGGAGAAGGGCTGGCGTTTGAACCCGGAACCATAGTCGAACAGAATGGAAAGGGAATCAAGCGGGCCAGGAGGTCAAATTAAATTGGGTGAAAAAAGAAACGTTGGAAAGACGAACGCGCCCCTATCAGAAGGTTCCCCAGACAGGGGCCAAAGGCCCTGAATAGAACCCGGACCCAGCCCTTGGCAATTTGCCCAGGTCATAGCCCATACTCCAAATACCCACGTTTTGTTTTTTTCCGCAAAAGCTAAATTCCTCCTTTCTTAGTAGAGGGTCGACATGATACCCTAAAAAAAGGCCGGGTATTGGGTGTAAGGGGTACCCTCAAAACGGGCTCCCCTTTGATTCCTCTTGACACCAACCCAAAGGAGGGGAGCCTTGGCAAAAACAAGAGGAGCCCCGTATTTGACCACAGCTTATGGTTGCTTAACCACATTCTCCAACTTTCCCATAAAATGTCCATGTACACCAACCCCCAAAAGGCTCACTCTCTCCAAAAACTGAAATGACAAGAGGAACACGCCAAGGATGTGGGTTTTCCTGTCGGCGTTTTCCTGTCGACTTTTTCCTGTCGGCTTTTTGCTGTGGGCTTTCCACCCGGTTGTTGCCATCCGGAAAAAAAAAAAAAGAAAAAGAAAAGACCCTGGAGTCTCCATGACCCAAAATAGAAATGGGTCCATGACCAACCCTTATTTTGGGTAAGGACCAACCATTTTTATTTCGGGTCCTTAGGGAGACCCAAAAAAAACAGCATCTGGTTTTTCCTCTCGGCTTTCCACCCATTCGTTGGCCTCCGAAAAGGAAAGAGCGCCCGCCGCAACGCCCGCCGCGCCTCGAGTCGAGGCTGGGCCTACGCGAAGCTGGACTTCGTAGCCGAGGCCTCGGAGCTCTGGGCCGCCATGGGCCAAGTGCTGCAGAAGGCGGGGGCCGAGGGATGGCCGGCGGGAGGCGAGGCGAGGCTCGCCTCCCCCCGGCGGGCGCCCAACCGGGGCGATTTTCACGGCTCTGAAGGGGGGGGGGATTGCTTAAGGGGGGGTAAGGTAAGGGGGGGCTTAAGGGGGAGCTAAAGGGGGGCTTAAGGTTGGGGGGAAGCCAGGAGAGCAGAGAAATGGTTGGGAGATGCACGTTTGGGTGGGTTTCACCAGTTCTAATTTATTCTGCAGAGGTGGATCCGCAAAAGCCACCTCCAAGCCGGGTTCGGGAAGGGCTTTTGGAAATCCTATGATTTCCGCACGAAGGTCACGAAGGCGTGCCGTTCTTTTCAAAACCTAAAGCGGCACGTCATCAGCTGATATGCTGAAATCATCAGCTGATCTGGGTCTGTCTTTGTTTGAGGGTACCTGGAGTCTCCATGACCCTTTAAAAATGGGGTCATTTCCCAAAATCAAGCCTTTTTTTAATGGTCATGGAGACTCCAGGTACCTTCTTTTGTGTGGTCTTCAGGAAAAACCGAAAGAACAGCGACCCATTTTCTGGGGTCCAACCTTAGAAAAGACACTGATCCGCTGGTCATCACTCGACCTGTTCGGCTTGTTGCCGGTGAGGTACACTTGTCGCGGCACGTGGACTTGTCCATGCGGCTTGGCAGGTTTCGAGCGCGCACCTGGGCACTCAGATTTCAACAGGCCCTTTTCGACTGGTGGGCATAGGTGTCCTTTTGAATTTGTTTTGGTTGAAAACCCAGAGGGCTCTGGTTTGCCTGGTGGTTCAATCAACTGCCAGGGAAATCCATCTATTTTCCCCAAAAAGATACCTATGGCGGGCCGACTTGGTCGAATTGGGGTAGGAAGGGCCACTCTCCCGTCCAACATGGAACCTAACTTTCGGGCGGAAGACGATGCTCCGAAAGGGACGGATGCAAATCCTACGGCCCCACCAATGGATTCAATCAGCCTTCTGCAATGGGTTTGGGTAGAATCCGGAAAACATCCTGGTGGGTACTGAGGCGCGTAAAGCTTTCTATTACTTGACTGCTATCGGGTTGCATCTTTGGACTTTAGCTGTTTGAATTTACGGGGTTTTCCACTAAACCCCCAAAAAGTGAAAACATGTTGCAAGAAAGTCGTTGCAGCAAGCAAGTACGGGTGAGCCAAAGAATCTATGGGTCTTGGGCGCAGGCGTGTCTATTTCCAGCCATGGACTCGGCTTCGCTAGACCTTGAATTGGACTCGGCCTGTGGCATTGATTTGTTCAGGCTGGGCTCAAAAAGGCGGACGTCAGCACTCGGGGGATTCATGTCCACTCTGGAGGTGGTTTCCTTGATAGAAAAGTCACAAGCATTTGGCGATTTGTTGAGACTGGACCAAGTGAGTCACAATCAAAACCCGGGTAGATGAAGGTTAGTAAGGGGCAATCCCAACCATAAATGGTTGCGGCCGCCTTCTGATTCCTTTACATGGTTCTGGGTAGATCGTTTTACTACCGGGTTTTGATTATGACATCAAGTGGAGAGGCTGTAGTCTCCCATTCCTTCCACCTGGCACAGTCGACTCTAAGCACACCCAGATGTTCAAGGCTGGTCGCTGAACCTCGCAAAGAACCTTCCACTTGGGAGAAATGGCTTCCCATTGGGCCTCCTTGCGTCAGATGGCGTGACAACCCCCAAGCCTTCCCCAAAAATTGAGAAAGCCATGGGGTCTCGATCCATTTAGCTGAGGGGTTTGGATGGGGATACCTGGCAGGTTTCTTCATATGGCCATGGGGCAGAACCTATGGCTCCATTTTGGGGTGGATGAACATCCATTTGCCACCTATTTTGATGTTCACCAGGGGTATAGGGTTTTGACTCACAGCCATATTTGCAAACCTGGTACCCTCACTCCCACTAACATGGCACCTGACAGGGGGTCCCTACAAGAGGAACATTATCTTCCAAATACCCTCTTACAGGTGCATGGTATGTTGGTGGAAGGGAGGGTACCCCCCCAAGCAAATCCCCCAAGTCAAAAAAAAGCAAGCGCCGAGCCTCAGAAAGGGCCCCGTGGTTGGAGGAAAAAATGGTCTTCCCGGAAGTCATTTTTGCCTCCCCTTGTCTTCACCTTATCTCGAGATGCTTTTTTGTTTTTCGCACCCCGAGCCGAAGGGAGTACACGGGGTTGCCGGGATCAACTCCAGAGCCCTTGGGTTTCTTTGCTTGGTGGCTCCCAGGCATCCCCTTACCTTCTTAGCCTTTTCGTGTTTAGTGGTAGTTTCCATTTAACCCACTAAAAGTTCAACTTTTGGCGGGGGATCTGAGGGCAGCCCAGTTTGAACTGATGCACCAAGATGGGAAGCTCACTTTTCAACCTGGTTCCTTCGTTTCCACCAGGACTTTGGGTTGAAAATAAGTCCTCAATCCTCATGTCAAATTCTAGTATTTCCCCTTCTTGTAGTGCTGTCCACCACAAGGTAGGAATCCGCCTATTTTGAAGAACCCAGAACATGCTACCTGCACACAAGCCTGTGGGAAATCAAAGCTCCGCATCCCTGGCCCGGTTTCCATTGCCCCCACCTCCACCCCCACCTCCACCCCCACCCACCCCATACCACCCTACACACACCCATACCACCATACCACCATACCACCACCACCCACCCCAACACCCCAGCCCCCACCCACCGACGCTCCCAAGCTGAGGATCGCCTGGGCCTTCAGCACCGCACGCCAGGGCGACGCCGCGCTCTACGCCGAGCTGGCAAGCGCATCGCTGGACCTGATGCAGGAGCGGCCGGGCCGGCCGGCCGGGAGTCGAGCGCCGGTTTCACGAAGCGAACAGGTTGGCCATGGTGCTTCTGCTACCTGCCATGGAGGTGATAGAAAGAGAGTGCACAATTCTTTACATGTGTGGTAGAATCAAGAGTCAATGGGTATCTCCCTTTGTTAGTCCTGGGGTCCAAACTTGGCCTTTTTGGATGGTTTTACTGTAAATGCTGCCGCCCTTTTGGCCATTTGTAAGTGTATTTCGCTTTGAGGGGACCATCAAAGGCGGGGGGGAATTGCGGCGGATTGAAATGGGGTGTGTCTCACCATGGGATATGGAACCAAAGAAATCCGGTTCGCCTTTGGCTTCCCGTGAAAACCGAATGCAAACAAACGTGGCACCGTCCAGCCACCTTTTTCAAGCAGGGCAACATGATGCTGAACGCTTTCCGATTTGTGCAGTACCTTTCCTGGCGCCCTATTTTAGCAACCACCCTGACCTTGCAGGTAGCTGGTTTCCTCTTGAGGCCAACCCTATTAGCATGCTGGGCAAGGCTCGAGTGAGATGTGGGGGCAAGTCAGCCGTTACCAGTTGGATGTTGATCTTAAGATTGGAAAATCAATTGTTGGCTTCATGTGCTGTATATCTTCATCACCCCAAGTTTATCCTTACAGAATTACGAGAGTTGGCTTTTTGTTGCTCTTCTGCCCCGCATGCTGTTGGGGTAACAGGGATACCAGGCTGGCCACCAATTTGCCGCTTCGATCTTCGGCTGCTTGATGGCAGTGAAGCATGGAGTGGGTGGTGTTGATGCGTCCGAACTGGGAACCTGGAACTTGTTTCCAGCCGTTTTTTTGGTGCATTTTGCTTGGCTGTTAGGACTTTAACTTTTTGCAGAAAGCAACCAAGGTTTGGTAGGCGTTGTTCAGGTCAGGTTGCAGGATGTCCTCACGACACGAGGTCAGATTGAAGTGGTTCAAGACACATGAACGATCTTTCCTTGCATACATGGTTTACGGAGTCATTCAAAGAGACCCCCAAACGAATCACATCGACATGTTTCACTGTGTCTCAGATTTGTGTTTGGCAATGTGCATACACCAAGAAGAATCTCCCTGCGCCATGAAGCTGGATATTCACTTGCCCAATGGAGCTGGCTGCCCCATAGAAGTCTCACCGTCGTGGTCCGTCAGTGAGCTGAAGGCTGCGGCGCAGCAGCATTTTAAGCGCCGCTTGAAGCTCATTGCGACAGGCCGCGAGCTCGATTCGACAGCCACGCTGTCAGAGGCCGGGTTGCGAGATGGGGACTCAGTGACTGCGGTTGTGCAGCTTGGCAAACTGGCTGCCACAGGCAGCGCGTTCGCTTGGCTTGGCTTCCAGGTCGAGGTTGTGACCTGGGGTGATCCTCAATATGGTGGAGACAGCAGCCAGGTGCAAGAGCATCTGAGGAACGTCCTGCAAATCCAAGCAAACCAGCTTGCTTTTGCAGCCATTCTTGAATCTGGGGCTGTTGTGACCTGGGGTTGTTCAGAATGCGGCGGAGACAGCAGCCAGGTGCGAGACCAGCTGAGGAACGTCCAGACCATTCAAGCAACGCGCAGGGGTGCCTTTGCTGCCATTCTTGAATCTGGGGCTGTTGTGACCTGGGGTAATCCAAAAGCAGGCGGCGACAGCAGCCAGGTGCAAGATCAGCTGAGGAACGTCCAGAGCATCCAAGCAACTGCCTGTCGTGCTTTTGCAGCCATTCTTGATTCTGGAGCTGTAGTGACCTGGGGTGCTCCAGAATACGGTGGAGACAGCAGCCAAGTGCAAGAGCGGCTCAGAAGCGTCCAGCGCATCCAAGCAACTGACGCTGCTTTTGCTGCCATTCTTGAATCTGGGGCTGTTGTGACCTGGGGTGATCCAAGATATGGTGGAGACAGCAGCCAGGTGCAAGAGCAGCTGAGGAACGTCCAGCACATCCAAGCAACTAACCAAGCTTTTGCTGCCATTCTTGAATCCGGGGCTGTTGTGACCTGGGGTAGTCCAAGATTGGGTGGAGACAGCAGCCGCGTGCAAGAGCAGCTGAGAGATGTCCACCACATCCACGCGACTCAGGGTGCTTTTGCTGCCATTCTTGAATCTAGGGCTGTTGTGACCTGGGGTGATCCGAGATATGGTGGAGACAGCAGCCAGGTGCAAGAGCAGCTGAGGAACGTCCAGCACATCCAGGCAAATGACGCTGCTTTTGCTGCCATTCTTGAATCTGGGGCTGTTGTATCCTGGGGTAGTCCAAGATTGGGTGGAGACAGCAGCCGCGTGCAAGAGCAGCTGAGAGATGTCCACCACATCCACGCGACTCAGGGTGCTTTTGCTGCCATTCTTGAATCTGGGGCTGTTGTGAGCTGGGGTGGTCCAGAATACGGGGGAGACAGCAGCCAGGTGCAAGATCAGCTGAGGAACGTGCAGCACATCCAAGCAACTGCAGATGGTGCTTTTGCTGCCATTCTTGAATCTGGGGCTGTTGTGACCTGGGGTCACCCAGCAAATGGCGGCGACAGCAGCCAGGTGCACGAGCAGCTGAGCTTGAACCTCCGTGCAGATTAGGAAACTGAAAAAGCGCGCAGGGTTGGAACAACAAGCGGGTGTGGGTCAACAATAGGTACCCCAAAATGGCACCCTGGCAAGTGGAAACAAGGCCTAGCACCTGAAAGCCCGCTTGGCTTAATTTTGACCCATGCCCAAGTACAGCCAGTTTAGTTTTATTCGTACGTGTTCCGTAGAGTTCAAAACGACAGCAGTGCGAAGCGCTGACACAGGAAGAAACCAGGGCCTGTGAGCAGCAAGTCTCCCTTCCCATCAGCTTGGTCGCTGGCAAAATGGGTAGGACTTGAAGGTGAATTCACAGGTCCGCAAATCGGGTCCGCAAATTGAGTCCTACTCCCAATTGATCGACCCCCTCATAGTGAAGGGATTCCTTTTTGAGGGGGTCGGCAATTTTCTCACAGGTAGCAAAAAGACCCCCCTTGTTGCGACTCAGAAGATCCAAGTCTGAGCCGGCGGTTCGCTCGAGAGGACTTGACACCGCAGTGCCTCGCCAATGTTGCCATGGCGCTTGCGGCGCGGCGAAACAGCGAAGAGCCTGTCGTATTTGACCAGGTCCCCCAGCTAGGTGCCCTTTCTCACCCTTTTTTGGTTGGGAGGAACCCCCCCTACTAAAATAGACTACAGCAAAAAAAGGGTAGCCTTATGCTTTCCTCTCTACTGGAGGACCTAGTTGAGTCAAGCGGATCCCTGGGATTCAAATTATTAAATCAACGGGGTTCATATGACCACGTAACTTACCTGAGGATAGTCATCATCTGAATTGGATCAATGTTTCGTTTCTTCTTTTTTTAATGGAGTTTGAACCCGAGGATGATACTTGCATCATCTGCAAATCCAAGAACCATGTCGAACTCGGACTGGGCAGCGGTATTTGCTTCTTTGACGGCTGGATCATGGTAGGCCGGCCCGTTTTGTTCGGCAGAAACCAAACATCAACCCGCCTCGTTGCAAGCACTTTGCAGACTTGATCAACGATGTTGTGAAGCGTGGTTGGTCCGCAGTCTCTTCACAGCGCCTATTCATTCACAGAGTTCCTGTGATCTCTATATTTCAACTTGTGGATCTGTTTTAAGCCGTCGCGTTCTTTTGTTTTTGGGCAATTTGAAGCTACGTTTCCTTGTGGGGTGATATGGGTGTGGGTCAAAATTAAACCACTAGGATATGGACCGCAGGTGTTAGTCCGTGTTTCCCGTTATATACCAAGGCAAGCCATTTTGGGGCTACCCTATTTTTGACAACCACGGTAATTTGGTGTTTTTCACTCCTTAAAAGTTGTTAACCTCACTTAGGGGAACTGCTGAGTGGAAACCTCTGAGGGGAACTTTTTGACAACCACAGCCATATGTTTTCAGGGGAGATGCTTGACGCTTCATGACCTTCCAAGTCTCATCGCTAGCGCGGTAGCACTCCCGGCCGTGTCCCTGTTCACCTTGAAGCCATGAGCTCATATGGGAGGCCTTCATATCTTGGCCACCATTTTTTCAACGAGGTGTTTTTTTTGGTTTTTTTACCTGGAGTCTCCTTCTGACCCTTTGAAAACCTTAAATGGTTGGTCATTACCCAAAACTTCAGAGCCTCCGGCTCAGTCCGCCGACATTGTCCTCTCCCTTTTCTCCTTATTCCTCTCCCCCTTTTTTTGTGTGTTCTGTCGTCCTCTCTCCCTCCCTCTGCTCCCCATCCTCCCCATCCCCCCAAGCCTCTCTCTCCTCAATCTCCCTCTCTCTGTCTCTCTCTCTATCTCTCTCTCTCTCTCTCTCTCTCTCTATCTCTCTCTCTCTCTCTCTGTCTCTCTCTCTCTCTCTCTCTCTGTCTGTCTCTTTCTCTGTCTCTTTCTCTGACTGTGGCTCTGTCTCTCTCTCTCTCTCTCTTTCTCGCTCTCTGTCTCTCTCTCTCTCTCCCTCTCTCTCTCTCTCCCACACTCTCTCTCTGTCTCTCTCTCTCTCTCTCTCTCTCTCTCTCCCCCTGCATTGCAGAGTCACGCCGATGTGCGGGCACTGCCCCTTCATGACCCTTCATGTCCTTTTCACGTTTCCCATGATGTCCTGGTCATGTCCCTTCCATTCCTTTCAATTCCCCCTTCATGTCCCTGTCATTTTCTCGGTATGTCCGCTTCATTTTCCATGTATGTCCCGTTCTATTTCCCCCCCTCGTTTCCTTGCACTTCCTTGCATTTCCCCTTTGCTCCCCAGTATTTCCCGCAAAAAAACCGTTTTTCCAGCGTTTTCGCAAAGAGGACGTCCAAAAACACAGAGTTGTTTCCAGATCTTCGGCAAAAGGAGGCAGGAAACCCAAGCCAGCAAAGAGCTGGCAGGGGGATTCGAGCCTGGGACTCCTGTTTTGCGGCACCGGCTCCCCGAAGACTACGTTTAGACCCTCCAAAACCCTACGTATTTGATGTCGGGCGGGGGGGGAAGGGGGGGGGTATCCTCTATCCTCTCTTAAGTATCCGACACGCCTCCAAAATGTCGGCGGATAATGGTTGGTCATAGACCCATTTTTAAAGGATCATGGAGACCCCAGGTACAGCTGTACAGCTATATGGCTATACTACTGTGGATGGACGGAATCCATTTCGCACCGCCTAAGAAACACTAGAATGATGATTTCCCTGTGAATGCCAACAACATGGTTTTTATTCTTCCAAAGTGGTGCAGGATTTCGTCCATCCAGGATCGTGCCCTTCTCTCCCCGTTTTTGGGGTTTGGGGTTCCCCTACTAAAATAGACTACAGCAAAAAAAAGTACCCTTATTCTAACCTCTTAACTGGAGGACCTAGCTATATGTAGTGTACTCACATCCACGCAGCACAAGACATATGTCCATATAAAGAGATTTATTTGGTGTAGACATAAGGTGAGAATACATACAGCTTGCTAGAAGATCAGGTGCATTGTTCTCTGTGTGCCAGGCACTTCAAGACTTTGCACGCATATGCCGTGTGTCATGGCGTTCGCCCGTGTTAACATTGCGTGGGAAGCACCATGCATGCGTTGGGCGAATCAAGGACATGTCATTTCGCCTGCCTGAGGCGCGTGAGAACATCGCCCACCCCGAGTTGTTTGACGCCATTTGCAGGCAGCTTGGCAGCAGTGCAACGAAGAGTGCAGGATTGCAGTGCAGCTCCTCTTTTCTTGGTGGCTCCCAGCCATCCCCTTAGTTTTAGCCTTTTGGCTTTTAGTGGTAGTTTCCCATTTAACCGACTAAAAGTGAAACTTTTAGCGGGGGACCTGAGGGCGGCCCAGTTTTGAATCTTAGCTTTTTTTGGGCTTTCTGCAGGCAGTTCTGACGACAAACCTTGCAACGCGTCATGCGAAGAATGGTTTTTCGAGCTGGGTGATTTCTTGCAGCACAAGAGGATGGCATTTGGGACAAGGAATTGTCTGATGCCAGGTGAAGAGCCTCGGGAATTTCTCCAGGAGCAAAAATCCCTTTGGAGGTTTTGATTTGCTCTGGTTGGTTTTAAAGGGAAAGGCATGAGCTGGAAAAAACAAACTTATGTCATATGTTTTTTTTGGCACCAGCAAAAGACTTGTGTCATATGTTTTTTTGCACCAGCAAGAGACTTGTGTCACAGGGTTTTTTGGGGACGTTACTCTACTCCGTCCGGGTCCGGCTCCGATTCGGGGAAAGCTGCCTCCTCTACTTCGCCTCCCTCCCCGCTTTCCCCACCCAACTCGCCCGGGTTGGGCGAACTTGTTGGATAACCGGCCTTTGGTCCTTTTCCAGGGCAATGGAAGGGGAAAGCAAAAAGGGGGTGTTTAAAGATAGTGGCTAAACGGTTAAACTACCCCCTACTCCAAATACATTTTTTTGGGGGTATGACGTCGACCCCCTATTAACACAGGAGGTATTTGCCATAGAAACCTAGGTTTAAAAAAAAAAAAAACCTAACAAAGTTGGTATTTGGAGTGGGGGTAAGGGTTGGCCCACCCGCCGCCCGCGGGCCATGAATTTCTTCAAACCTGGATAAATGGAGGTTTGGATGCCTTTTTGTTCCGCCTCGCGAGTGGCGAACCTTCAGGTGCACTGTGGAAAATAGGGGGTTCGGGGCCATGCCCTTCCTGGTGGGGACTTTATAGTCATCAAGGTGGCCCACCTTGGTATCACAGAACTTGGTGGCTCCCAGCCATCCCCTTAGCCTTTTAGCTTTTTATTGTTTAGTGGGGATTTCCATGTAACCCACCAAAAACTTAAACATTTAGCAGGGGATCTGAGGGCAGCCCAGAGAAAGGACGCTTTCCACAACCAGTGCACCCTAGTGACTAGTGACTAGGCGCCATTGACCACCCCAGGTGCCGCAGGGCTCCACCTTGACCACCCCACATCAAACGGCCTCCGGCTCCCATCGGCACTGAAGGGCAATCACGTGGGGATAGAATCCATTTAACTTCCCCAGAATTAGCTCCCCTTTTTGTTTTCTTGCTTTTTTTAGGGTCCGTTTGTTTTCCACTAGCCAGACAAAAAAGATATATATTTTTTGCTGGGGTCCTAATTCCAGCCTAGTTAGGTTGGAACCTGTTCCACGGGGTTTCTCCCTAATATATTGTGGGCATGTGTTTTTCGAGGCCTCGGAAGCCTGGGCAATATCCTGCACCAGGTGGTAGGTTTCTCCCATAGGGGTGTCAATCCACCAAACATATGGTATCAAACTAGGCGACCAAATGAGGATGATAACCCCTAGACAATCCCAAATAGGGACACCCCCCACTCAAAAAAATCGGATCCTTTAAACCAACCTCCAAAAGGTAACCTCGGAAAAGACAGCATATACTGTTGTGGATGGATGGAAATCCTCGAAAAGACATGACGAAATCCTGCTGTGGATGGACGAACTGTTGCACCACTGTTCAGAAACTCTGGAATGATTCGATTCCCCTGTAAATAGCAACACGCGTTATGGTGTTCAACCATGGTTTCAGCAACAATTGGTGCGAAGGGATTTCGATGTCAACCCTCCACAGTATGTTGGGATGGTTTAAAGGGGAAAGCAAATGGAAGACAACACGGAAACAAATGTATGCTGGGATAAGCCTACCAGAAACCAGCCAACCTATGAACAGGCCCCATGATTTTTCAGATCCAAGTCACCCCATGGGATAAACTGAACAGACGGGCCCCATGATTTTTCAGATCCAAGTCAGCCCATGGGATAAAACCTACCTGGAGTCTCCATGACCCTTAAAAATGGGGTCGTTACCCAAAACAATGGTTGGTCATGGACCCATTTTTACAGGGTCCTGGAGACTCCAGGTAGGGGGTATTTACATTGAAATGCCGATCGGTTTTCTAAAGAAGTACCAACTTCGAAAAGCAGGTATTTGGAGTAGGGGGTATATACCCAACACCACCTCCAGGACAGGTTTGTCCAAAAGAAACTCCAACTACCCTTAAAAAAGTCCGTGGGGCATTTGGAGGTTCCGGATTGGGGGGAGGGGGGCCGGTCACTTCGTTTCACTTCGTTTCACTTCGTTTCAATTTGCCCCAGGCGCGGCCTGGGCTTGGTGCGGCACTTCGCGGACTTCGACGCCACGAACCTCTGCTGGGCGCTGGCGCGGCTCCAGTGGGTGGACTACGCGCCTCGGCTGGGCGGGGCCGGAGAACCGGAGAGCCCTGGAAATCGCCCCGAACGGCCGTGGCACCAACTTAAGATTGAAAAAGAATCAAGACCCACTAAAGAATGCTGGGAATACTCGTTTCAACACCTGGAGTCTCCATGATTTTGAAAAGGAATACTACTTTGAATACGACCTGGAGTCTCCATGGTTTTGCGAAAAAATGGGCCCCCAGCTACCTTTAGATTAGGCCAATTCAAGACCCAAGACCAAGCTGTCGGATGTCTCGCGCAGCCGCCAAAATTCGGGGGCAGTTCTCGAGCCACTACAACCCATTTTGGTTTCTCATTTTTTTCGGCCCGCTTCAAATGACCCGAATAAGTAGCGTTTGTCCTCCAGGCAATAGAAAATTAATAGGGGGGTCGTTGATTGTTGGGGGGAAGAGATTGGCGAGAGGGTATTCTAGTTCCAGCAAAACGTGCAACGCATACTTACTGGTGGTCGGCCAAGTTAGCTGTTGGTAACCTGGGTTACCCACATTTTTCGTCCCCCGTCTGGTTGGATGCCAACTTGTTTTTGGTAGGAACAATTACCCACTTACAAGTCCCCCGTTCAGTGGTTGGATGTGTTCAAAAAAAGGGCGATCACCACTTAACTTGTCGAATCGAAGATCCAAGCTCCCCACCGAGAAGTCCCCCAGCTAGGTGCCCTTTTACCCTTTTTTGGGGAGGGTTCCCCTACTAAAATCGACTACAGAAAACAGTTGGTGCCCTTATTCTAACCTCTCCACTGGAGGACCTTTTTTTTCAGTCAGTATGGGTTTCCGGCACTCCCTAGGTTGGGTCTCGATGACAATTAAACCGCTGAGTGTGACTTAATTTGAGGGCCAGAAAAGGGCTTGATTGTTCCTTCCGGTTCCCCAAAAAGTTGGTGCCCTTCTTCTAACCTCTCTACTGGAGGACCTAGGAGAAGTTCCCCCAAAATTCACGGGCAGCTCCTTCTGCCGAACTGTGTTGATCGATCGATCTCTCGCGGAGGAACTCTTCGAGCTCCTTGCAGACCACACGGCAGAAGCCTCAGCGCGCTGAGCGCGTTCGGGCCGACCAATTCACATGCACCCTGATATTCTAGGGGTACCTTCTTGACGGGTCTGTCTTCTTGGGGGTACACCCTGTGTTGAAAGGAAACCAACAGAATAAACAATGCAATTGTTCTAGCCCATTCTTTCCAGGGATCCTTTTTTCTACAAAACCTCCGGAATCCCAGGGGAAAACGGCTGGTTGTTGAAAAGAACGATGGTTGAAAAGAATGGAGTCGGACTCAACCCCTAGAGACATGGGGGTCCTGGAAAAACATACTTGTTCCCTTTTTGAAGGGACCCCCCAACGTCATGTTAAGTGGTGGGAGGGGGTCCCCAAGTTGGACTGTTTTTGTCATATTTCTTTGTCGAAGTCTCATTTTTTGGGCCTCCCTTTGGTTCGCAAAAACAGGTGGGATGAAACGGCAGGGTTCACATCGCGGGCTGCGTTACTTGCATCAGGGAATCAACCCAATGGCTGAACCAACTTGATTTCCTCTTCTTTTCCCTCTACCACCAAGAAAAGGGAAAAGGTATTACCAGAAGCACACACCCAACCTTTTGCCGACCCCTTTCAAGGGTGGGACCCTTGCAAAATTGATGATTTTCCTTGTGGGTTTCCTTTCCCACCAAAAAATGGGTACCCCCCCCCGCCCTGGCAAAAAGTTACAATCAAACAAACAACAACATGTGATTTTCCGGTGGTTTTCCTTTACCTGGAGTCTGCATGACCCGTTAAAAATGGGGTCATGACCCCTTTATTTTGGGTAATGACCAGCCATTTTTATTTCGGGTCCTTAGGGAGACTCCAGGTACCACCAAACAAATGGGTCTCACAAAAGACCAAAAAGACCACCTCAGGTGGGCAATGGCTTCGTGAAGCGTTACTCAGCAGAGATGGCCGCGCAAATGGCATGGGCCCCTCGTCTTTTCGATAGTCGGGCTAGAAGCCGTCGAATTTTCTTGCGATTGCTGCGTTCTCGGCAGCTTCCACTTGCTTAAGAGTTGTTTATTTTATCATTCTTATTTTCCCTTGTTGGTTTGAAAAGGAGTTCATCACTAGTGGAAATATACAAAACATTTTTTTCCCGGGGCCTTAACCAAATGGAAGGATAGAAGCCGACAAATTCTTGCGATCGGTGCGTTCTCGGCAGGGAATGACTATAGGTCCCCCCAGCTAGGTGCCCTTCTCTCCAACTTTTTTGGTTGGGAGTGTTCCCCTACTACAGGAAACAAGTTGGTACCCTTATCTAACTTCTCTACTGGAGGACCTAGAGGAACGGAATGACCCCGATTTCAATCATCTGGTGGTTTCCTGTCAGAGGACGAAAGCCTGGCTTCATTCAAGCAGACTTCCCCACTCCTCACACCTGGAATTGTCCTTGGAGCCTGAGCATCACTGCGATGGTCTGGGGGTGAACAGGGATATGGTCATCCGCCCGGATCGTTAATCACATGTTTGCCTGATGTGTTACCCAAGTTTTCTATAACTAAACGCCCGGTAAGGATCGTTAATCACATGTTTGCCTCATGTGTTACCCAAGTTTTCTATAGCTAACCGCCCGGTAAGGATCGTTAATCACATGTTTGCCTCATGTGTTACCCAAGTTTTCTATAGCTAACGCCCGGTAAGGATCGTTAATCACATGTTTGCCTCATGTGTTACCCAAGTTTGCTACAAACTAAACGCCCGGTAAGGATCCTTAGTCACATGTTTGCCTCATGTGTTACCCAAGTTTTCTATAACTAAACGCCCGGTAAGGATCGTTGAACACATGTTTGCCTCATGTGTTACGCACGTTTTCTATAACTAACGCCTGGTAAGGATCGTTAATCACATGTTTGCCTCATGTGTTACCCAAGTTTTCTATAACTAAACGCCGGGTAAGGATTGTAATCACATGTGTGCCTCATGTGTTACCCAAGTTTTCTATAACTAAACGCCTGGTAAGGATCGTTTTATTCACATGTTTGCCTCATGTGTTACCCAAGTTTTCTATAACTAACGCCCGGTAAGGATTGTTAATCACATGTTTGCCTCATGTGTTACCCAAGTTTTCTATAACTAAACGCCGGGTAAGGATCGTTAATCACATGTTTGCCTTATGTGTTACGCACGTTTTCTATAACTAACGCCCGGTAAGGATCGTTAATCACATGTTTGCCTCATGTGTTACCCAAGTTTTCTATAACTAAACGCCCGGTAAGGATCCTTAATCACATGTTTGCCTCATGTGTTACCCAAGTTTTCTATATAACTAAACGCCCGGTAAGGATCGTTAATCACATGTTTGCCTCATGTGTTACCCAAGTTTTCTATAGCTAACCGCCCGGTAAGGATCGTTAATCACATGTTTGCCTCATGTGTTACCCAAGTTTTCTATAGCTAACGCCCGGTAAGGATCGTCAATCACATGTTTGCCTCATGTGTTACCCAAGTTTTCTATAACTAAACGCCCGGTAAGGATCCTTAATCACATGTTTGCCTCATGTGTTACCCAAGTTTTCTATAACAAAACACCCGGTAAGGATCGTTAATCACATGTTTGCCTCATGTGTTACCCAAGTTTTCTATAGCTAACGCCCGGTAAGGATCGTTAATCACATGTTTGCCTCACGTTTTACGGAAGTTTTTTAGCTAAACTTTCTTTGATCAATTCAAGTTGGGTCTTTGGAGCGAGGAGCCCAAAGGGTCGAAAGGCACGCCCCGGCGGCAAATTTGTGAACTATTATCCAGCAACCTTCTCCCCAATACAATTCATCATAACCCCAAAACCACTAACCGTAAACCAAAAAGCATACCCCCTATTCCACATACCTGTTTTTTGTGCATGATGTCGACCATCTACTAAAAAAGGGATCGGTATTTACCATGGAAGCCCGTTCGGTTTTTCCAAAAAAGAAAACTTAGAAAAAGGCCGGGTCTTTGGAGGTTACGGGGGTAGATTCCGATTCTTTTCGATTCTGCCCACTCGGGTGAACCGAGACTCGCTCCGGTACCCGGGCACCAGGCCTTTGCTGTAGCGGGCTTCGCGCACGGCCCGCTCTTTGCGGACCTGGCGGTGCCTCAAGTACAAGTCTGTGGCTGCATTTGAGTTCTTGGGGTCTCCCTAAGGACCCGAATCAAACATTGGTTCATCCATTTTGGGGTTTCCATCCAACATCCAGTGTGCCCTTTGAGCATACGGGTGTTTGTTTTTGTAGGGGATGCTTGCAAAATTGTGGATTTTCCTTGTGGGTTTTCTTTCCCACCAAAAAATGGGAACCCCCCCCCAACAAGAAAGTTACAATCAATCAAACAACATGTGGTGTTCCTGGTGGTTTTCCTTTACCTGGGGTGTCCATGACCCTTCAAAATTTGGAGTTCATCCATTTTGGGGATCCAACATCCAGTGTGCCCTTTGAGCATACGGGTGTTTGTTTTTGTAGGGGATGCTTGCAAAATTGTGGATTTTCCTTGGGTTTTCTTTCCCACCAAAAAATGGGAACCCCCCCCCCAACAAGAAAGTTACAATCAATCAAACAACATGTGGTTTTCCTGGTGATTTTCCTTTACCTGGGGTCTCCACGACCCTTCAAAATTTGGGGTTCATCCATTTTGGGGTTCCCATCCAACATCCAGTGTGCCCTTTGAGCATACGGGTGTTTCTTTCTGTAAGGGACCCTTGCAAAATTGTGGATGTTCCTGTGGGTTTCCTTCCCACCAAAAAAAGGGGTACCCCCCCCAACAAAAAGTTACAATCACTCAAACAACACGTGGTTTTCCTGGTGGTTTTCCTTTATCTGGGATCTCCTTCTGACCCGAATGAAAAATTGGCTGGTCATGAACAACCATTGTTTTGGGTAATGACCAACCATTTTTTAAGGGTCCTTAGGGAGTCTCCAGGTTTGTGGTTGTTTCAGGGTTATTTAGGGTTATTTAGGGTTATCTTCCTTTTGGGGAGGATACCAACATGCTTTGCGCGTTTGTTTGATTTGTTTGCTTTGTGTCTTTCTCAGCTTGTTTTTCTGGTATGCCTTTGACCCGAAAAGGGGTTGCGGGTTTGTGCGCAACATGTTGACAGAACTACAGGTTTCACATGGATCGTATACGCTTTTTTGGCACCACTAAAACTGGCCCTATGCTATGGGCAAACACGGGCAAATTTGGCGTGGGTTGACCCTAAGACACAGCTATGCGGGTGTCAGGTTGGTTTCAGGTTTTTGAGGGTACCGTTGCTTAGGTTGGTTTACAGTTTTTAGGGGAACTTGTTTCGGTCTTTAGGTAGTGTTTGTTGTTTTTCCGTAAAAATTAGGCAGAAGGGTGTTCTGCAAATCTGATCTCCCTGATCTGGCAGCCACATTCGTTGATTCCAGGTTTCAAACCGATTTTCTGTTGTAGCTGTCACGTCCCACGGTGGGAGTAGTTTCCTGTCACTGCCGGGAAACCCATTTTGTGCCACTGGCGACAGGTTCAGAGGTTGCCCGCAACCTGCAACCGTGAGCCCCTCTAGAACAAATTGCCAAGCATGAGACCAACCATAAGCAGCATCTGAACACACCGTGAACCAACCTATTCAAACCAAGAGCTGCTACAGCCTTCACCTACCCAAAGCTAACCCCGCAACAACCCGAAGTCAAGCCCACACACTCCCTACCAGCTTGAAATGTCCAGTGCATCAACATATTGCTGCGTCAAGTGCCTCTACTGACACCAGTCCTATCATCAATGAATTGCAGCGGGTCTTTTGCCGACTCGAACCTAACATATGGGACCCATGACGTCTCAAGGGGGGATTGTTTGCTTTGCAAGGTCGCAAGGGCCAAGGATTTAGAAGCCGGATTTTGGGACAGGCTTGTGAAACAGAACCTGAACACACCTGAACATATCCACCAAACCACCCATCCAACCCACCCACTGAACATACAAATCTGATTTTCTGCATACACCAAATGTGGGCCGAAAGACCGGTTGGGTGACTTTCCAAGCTTACGAGGACTTCGTCGCTCGGCACGCCAGCGTCTTCGAGGCGGTCTGCGTCACGATCAGAGCCTTTTTCTAGCCAGGGAAGGCAAAGGGATGTTGAGGTCTGCCTGGAGTCTCCATGACCCTGTAAAATGGGTCCATGGCCCCATTATTTTGGGTAATGACCAACCGTTTTTAAAGGGTCCTTAGGGAGACTCCAGGTGCGTCTTTTTTTGAGGTTAGCCTTTTGGGTTGGTTTAAAAGGACATCCAAAGGAAGAGTATCCATTTTGTGGGTTCCCTGGTTTTAGACATACCCCCATGGCTGTGAATCTTAAGCAAATTTGGTCCTTGTGGTTGGTGGGCTTTGCCAAATGCATTTTTCTGTCCATTTCGGGTCCAAGCACTTACAAATCACGCCGCAAGAGTTCCAGAGGTGTTACATGTTCAAAGGGCTTGTCCCAGACCCTTTTTGTCCCACACTGGTTGACAATGAGAAACAGGGGGAAGGCTTGTCACTTTGCCGGTCCCCAAAAACGCTGGAGGCAAATCAGCCCCGAAACCTAAGACCCGGCCTTACTGCGCCCTTTTTTTCGGAAAAGCCGGATCGGGTTCCCATGATGGTAAAGACCGAAATCCCCTGGTTTTAGTCGAGGGTCGACAAATCATACCAACTAAAACAAGGCCGGGTCTTGGGTGTAGGTGTGTTCCTGCGGTCTCCTTCTGACCCGAAGTTCAAAAAGTTGGCTGGTCATGACCAAGCATTGGAGTATTTGGAGTAGGGGGTATTTGGAGTAGGGGGTAGATTTTATGGGTGTCCGGCTTCTGCTCCGAGGCTCCTTTGAGAGAGTAGCCATGGTCAACTTAGGTCCAGCCAGGTGCCAACTTTCTCCCAACTTTTTTGGTTGGGAGATTCGGTTCCCCTACTAAGATAGACTACAGACAAAAGTTGGTACCCTCATTCTAACCTCTCCACTGGAGGACCTAGTTAGGTGTTTCCCACAGGCCTGCTTTTCTGATACCAGGGAGTGCTCTTGCGAGTCAGTCATGAGGCAGCCCTTTCTACTGTCACAGGAGTCAGCAATTCACAGGCTGGCCGGCTGGGAGAACCTCTGGTAAGTTCGCCGTGGTTTTTCTTTGAAGTCTTCAACGGGCAGTGGTTGGTTTCTCTCCAAGACTTCTGGTCACTGTCCAAGAAATTTGGGGCACTGAACAGCTGGGTCGTGAGTTAGGGGGCAACCCCCCAATGCGAAGTAATTCGAGGCGGCCGCCTCTGTGGGTTGTTTTTGCATGGTTGGGGAGGTGATTATTTGTTGGTTCCCTGATGTCGCTCTGGCTGAAGTGGAATTGAATACATCGATCAATTCGAGCGGAAAAAGATCGTGGAATTGTTAGCCCTGAGTCCTATTGTTAGCATGCGACAGCCATAGAGCCATAGGCAATTGGTTCACAGGCAGACCATGCCCACGGCCCCATGACTTGACCACTCTCAAAGTCACCCCCCAACTGACTTTCCCCCCTTCCCGCCCCCCCCCCCTCCCCTTCCCCCCTCCCCCCAAAAACCTACGTAATAGACGTCGGGCGGGGGGGGGTTAGGGGGGGGGGTTATCCTCTATCCTCTCTTAGGTGTCCGACACGCCAAGCAATGTCGGCGGATTTTCCGCCCAAGACCTAAGACCCGGCCTCACTGCACCCTTTTTTGGAAGAACCGGATCGGGTTCCCATGATGTAAAGACCGAAATCCCCTGTTTTAGTCGAGGGTCGACAAATCATACCAACTAAAACAAGGCCGGGTCTTGGGTGTAGGTGTGTTCCTGCGGTCTCCTTCTGACCCGAAGTTCAAAAAGTTGGCTGGTCATGACCAAGCATTGGAGTATTTGGAGTAGGGGGTATTTGGAGTAGGGGGTAGATTTTATGGGTGTCCGGCTTCTGCTCCGAGGCTCCTTTGAGAGAGTAGCCATGGTCAACTTAGGTCCAGCCAGGTGCCAACTTTCTCCCAACTTTTTTGGTTGGGAGATTCGGTTCCCCTACTAAGATAGACTACAGACAAAAGTTGGTACCCTCATTCTAACCTCTCCACTGGAGGACCTAGTTAGGTGTTCCCCACAGGCCTGCTTTTGTGATACCAGGGAGTGCTCTTGCGAGTCAGTCATGAGGCAGCCCGTTCTACTGTCACAGGAGTCAGCAATTCACAGGCTGGCCGGCTGGGAGAACCTCTGGTAAGTTCGCCGTGGTTTTTCTTTGAAGTCTTCAACGGGCAGTGGTTGGTTTCTCTCCAAGACTTCTGGTCACTGTCCAAGAAATTTGGGGCACTGAACAGCTGGGTCGTGAGTTAGGGGGCAACCCCCCAATGCGAAGTAATTCGAGGCGGCCGCCTCTGTGGGTTGTTTTTGCATGGTTGGGGAGGTGATTATTTGTTGGTTCCCTGATGTCGCTCTGGCTGAAGTGGAATTGAATACATCGATCAATTCGAGCGGAAAAAGATCGCGGAATTGTTAGCCCTGAGTCCTATTGTTAGCATGCGACAGCCATAGAGCCATAGGCAATTGGTTCACAGGCAGACCATGCCCACGGCCCCATGACTTGACCACTCTCAAAGTCACCCCCCAACTGACTTTCAGAGCCCCCAGATGACTTTCAGAGCCTCCAGAACAGTCAACAGGATAAGAAAACCAGCAGCACTTCCACAGGAATTGTGGCCAAGTACCGTCCCAAAGCCGGGATTTGCTCTGGAATGTACCCCGTACTCCAAATACCCACTTTGTTTTTATTTATAGTCATAGTATTTTTTTGATAAAAACAAAACAACTGGGGTTTCCATGGAGGGTCGACCCTCAAAAAAGGCCGGGTTTAGGTGTGAGGGGTAGTCAACATCATAACCCCACGCCCTTCCCCACCCCCTCCCTCCCCTCCCCCCCCACACCCACTCCCCGCCCCTCCCCTGCCTCCTCTCCCCGCCCCTCCCTGCCTCCTCTCCCCTCCCCCCACCCCACCAAACACCCTTCCTCCCCTCCCCCCTCCCCTTCCCCTCCGAATCACCGAAGCTTCGTGCGAAAAAGGCGCAGTACTTGTCGACCTGCGCCTGGGCTTTCGCGACACTGAACTTTCGCCACGACTCGGTCTGGCACGCTCTGGCCAGAGAAGCTTTGCGGCAGTTGGGGCCCTTTCCGATTAAGCATATGTTTTTATGTTTCCCTCTTGGTTTCTAGAGAAAATCGATCACTACTGGATTCGGTTTTTGTGTTTTTTTTCCAGGGGGCTTAAGCACATGGAAACATGGCCAGCCGCAGAAGGCTTTTCTCCACTCCAGAGCGCCCAGTTTCCGAATTCGACACACGAAAAGTTCGCTACAAAAAAAATCGCGGGGGATCGATCCGAAAACGAGCACTTCCCGCTTTCAGGAAGTGAAGGGGGGCCGGCTGTGGCGCTACCGCCCGGATCAGCTCTGCATCATCTGGGCCTTTACGAAGGTTCGCTGGGACGACCCCGAGCTGCTGAGGGACCGGGGGGGACCGGTGGGTGGGGCGTTTGCGGGTCTGACTTCAACCCAAAAGAGGTATAAAAAGGCGAGGTTTTCCAGCAAGTGGTGCCCTTTCTCACCCTTTTTTGGGGAAGGGTTTGTTTTCCTACTAAAATATACTGCAGAAAAAAACAGACGAAAAGGCACCCTGATTCTAGCCGCTCTACTGGAGGACCTAGAAGGTTGGGTGCAGAAAAGGAGTTTTCTAAGGAACCAACACCCCGTAAAAACGCAGGCCCCACCACTGAAAAAGCCTGGCTCTGGGTTCCCTAGGGATCCCTCTATAGCCATGATGGGTTGAAACCCCATGTGAACGTGCGAACTGGCAAACGTTCAACATGCTCAGTCCGGTTTCTTCCACTTGGTGAAATGAACATTTGTTATTTTCCCCTGTTGGGGTCCTAATTCCAGCCTAGTGGAAATCTGGGCATCTTTCCACCTTCCAGCTTCCAAGTATAAGTAGACTTCCATTTGCTGAAATGATTATGTTTTTATTTTCCTTTTTTTTCTTAAGCTGGACATTTTTTCTCTCATTTTTTCCAGGGGCGAAAAAGCAAATGGAGGGGTTTCTTCATGGGCCAACAAAACTTGAAACTTTCGCAGGGCTCCTTAACAGATACAGTTGCTTTTTCAACGCCAAAATAAAGTTGGAAACCACCATTTACAAGTTGCAATGTTCAGGTGTACAATGCAAGGATCCCTGTTTCGGTGCCTACAAATAAAGCTGTAGAGGGAGGGCCGAGGCTGAAGGCACCGAAAGGTAGTGAATACTTCCTGGTTCGTCCGCTTGTTCAAGTATTTATGGTTGCTTAGCGCTGGTTGGCCCGAAAAATACGGCCGGCTCCGGTATATTTATTGCCAGTTGATTTATGTAAATAAGTTTCTTATTTGGTACTGCCCTGGCCAGTCAACTCACGGGACAGGGTTCCCCGTTTCTACCAAGTTGGAGCTTTTGGGTCCTTCTGTCGGAATTGGATTGGAGCTCGGAGTTTGCCAATCTCGAGGATCCTTCGCGGGGCCCTCATTTCAGGTTGGTGAAGTGTTAGAATTCAGATTGGGAAAGGGAGCTAAGTCTTACCCCCTACTCCAAATACCCACCTTTTTTAGGGTATCATGTCGACCCTCTACCAAAAAAGGAGGTATTTACCCTGAAAAAACAAGTTTTTTTCAATAATACCCCTTAAAAAAAGGCCACGTATTTGGAGTTGGGTGTAGTACTTCAACACATCTTTCTGAGTCTGAGCCAAAACCTTCACACAAACTCGGGGGCCCAGCCGTTTTGCAATGGAGCTTGCTTGCGAGTTGCGATTCAATGGGTGGTGCACCTACCCCAAAATGGGTGACCCATTGGTTTTGACAACCACAGCCATTTGTTCAAAGTTGGTGGTAGGGTTATCTTGGGATTTGTATCCATCCAAGACGCGCCGTTGAAGATGTTGCCACGCCTTCACCGAGAGCCCAGTCCGAGTTCAAGGGGGTCTGGTGGCTTATTGGGCGCGCCGGAAGTATGTGGGGTTCTGCCAGGGCAACAAACAGTTTTTCTTGGCGGTTCGAGAGGGAATCCAAGACACCTGGAGTCTCCATGACCCTTAAACAATGGGGTTATTACCCAAAATAATGGGGTCATGGACCCATTTTTAAAGGATCATGGAGACTCCAGGTTGACTCACCTGGAAACCTTTGGACATCTTGACTCACCTGTGGATACCTTTGGAGCATCTTGTTCTTGACTCGCATTTTGGATTGTCTTTCTTGTGGTAATGCTGTGTTTTTTAGGGATCTCGAGGGTTCCATATCCCGTTTAAGGAATGTTGCCCGAAGATAGGCTGGCAGAGCGGGGGCTGCTGTCTAGAAGCGGAATGCGATTGGATGTTCAATTTGGTCATAAACACGGTAATATATCAATATGAAACTATGCAAGGCTGGAACCGAAGCACTTTCACCAGTAAGTAGGTCATAAATATTATATATGCAACCCAGCGTGGTCATCACGCCCTCTTTCGATCGCCTATTTTCGGTGCCCTTGGTGGTTTTCGGTGCCTGTCCGGTGTTTCTTTCTTTCCAGGACATGATGCAAGTGTCCTCCCAACGGCTCACGGAGTTTGACACCCAAGGCATCATCAACTTCCTATCGGCGGTGGTGGTGATGAGCGAAGAAGGCACCGAAGGGGGGTGCCAAATGTTTCATGACTTTCGATTTCGTCTAAAAAATCCGCTCAAAGGGGGGGATGCATGATTTGACTTTGTCCGGACCCACGCCCACATTTTAGCACGTTTAGTGGATCAGGCAACTGGCTTGAACATACTGTGGATGGTTACGAAATCCATTTCGCACCACCTAAGAAACCCTAGAATGCTGATTATTCTGCAAATAACAACAAACGTTATGGTTTCAACCATGGTTTCAACGTGGCGCGAAATGGATTTTGCAACCATCCACAGTATCTTTCGTCAAGACTGGAGGGGCTTTAGGGCGCACTCGCCCCTCGCCAGGCTCCGAGGCACACTCCGAGGACTGGCATGGGAGCGGGGGTCACCCACAGCCCACAGCCAGGCAGCAACGGCAACTACACTTGGTTGTCGTTGGGAAACATTTTTTACATGTTTGCTTGTTGTGGTTTAGTGGTTGAAATCCAACCACTTAACTGCTAAAAAATATATTTTTGGCTCCCCTTCCAACGTCAACCATGTACAGGGAGCAATCGGCTGCAGGCGTAAAGCAATATGTTTTTTGTGATCAAGAACAGCAATATTTAGGCAAAAGAAAAATGCAACTCCATCGGCCACTGCAGCAGCTATTGGTTTCGCCCATTGAATCCTTGCCCGTCTACAATCGAAACCGTTTTGCCTAGCGTTCGCAGCTTGTTTTTGGCCACGGCCTTGAAAGCAACCAGAGGTTGGCAGAACGGTTTCGGATCAACAGCTCAAAAGCTACCGTGCCACTTTTCAAGTGACTCTCTCTCTCTCTCTCTTGCAGCTGAGTGGCGGACAAAGTCAAGTCTGAGCTGAGCGCTCTGAACACAACTAAAGGAAACACAACTAAAGGCCCCTTGCCTGCCGTCCCCCCTTTCAAGTGACTTGAGAAGTGCACAGCGAACCACCAAGGAAGAGAAAAAGCCGATGCAGAGTTGACATGGACGATAAACTACATAATTTCTGACCGCAGTGCTTTGCAAAGCCACGCAGACCAACGCGCTTGCAGCACCCAACTCTCGGCAGACTCGTTGTTGGTTGCCTGCACAAGTATCGTCCAAGCTCTCGCAGTTGTAACATGAGCCCGGGCGTCGTTATGTAGCGGCGAAAGGCGAGTGTTTTTTTTGTTTATCCGTTTGGCGGTTGGATGTCACAAGTTACCCCCATAAGGCTAAGAATTTTAGTGGTTGGAACCCCCTGAAAAGTGATTGGTGGACATAAATTGGGACCCACCTAAATGACGTTCACCAAAAAGGCCCCAATCAAAATATGTTCATACCCATATCTCTGCACCACCTCCAAAGGGTCCACAATCAAAATGTTCATCCCCAGCTAGGGATGCACTGCCAACAGTGGAAATTCATACACATGCATGCAGAATTCCCCCAAAGAATGCCCCATTGTTCCACCCGGGGAAGTGCGGGAACCGCCATTTTGAGCCCCAGTCTCAAAATTCCTCACCAAGGTCTCCAATCAAAATTTGTAGCCATATTAGGCCCACACCTCTGCACCGAAGATTCCCCGCCCTTTTGCCACCACCGAAGCACCGGGGGACGTCGAAAAAATTCCGCTCCGCTCCGCTCTGCCCAGGATGCCCTGAGGCTTGTTGACAGCACCTCGGCAGAGGGTTTCGCTTCAAGGCGAGAGGAACGAGTGCTTACCTCTTAACAACTTTTCTCGACTTTTTGGGTAACATGGGCTATACCTAGAGATTCGCCGCGGCAGACATGTCTGCCGCAAATCAAAAAGGCGCCTTTTTGGATTTGCTGCATTTCTTCCCGATTTGCGGTGTTTGTTTAGAATTGCGGCAGAACTTGTTTTAAGTTTTTTCTACCCCCCGGTTTGCGGCGGAAATCGGCGGGAATGCGGCGGAAATCGGCGGGAATGCGGCGGAAATTCCCGGAAAGCGAACAGTGTTGCGGCGTTCTTGTTTTGGTTGCGGCGTTTTTTTTGTTTGCGGCTGATTTTCTGGAATGCGGCGGGAATCTCCGCCGCAATGCGTTGCGGCAGAAATTTCCGCCGCAGGAAGTTCTAGGTATGTCTGTAAAAGATGAGAACTTCCCCCGGGCTTGGAGTTTTCAGGGGTAAGAGTGAGGTCAATGAAGTCAATCGGCCGATCCTTTTTTCTCAGCCCGCAGAGGCTGGGTTTTTTGGTCTACAGCCACTCGGCGGTGTTTTTTTCATTTGGGTCTCTCGGAGTGGCTCAAAAAAAGGCAGGACCCAGAAAGTACGCAGGTTTGAGGCTTTTTGGTTCTCGGATGGGTGTGGAATGTTCTCAAAACGGCAAGGCCTATGTGGGGTGTGGAATGGGGTGTGGGGTGTGGGGGTACGCAGGTTTAAGTTATATTCCATTTGCCAGGGGTTTCCATTTTGGGCAATCCCCTAGTTTTGACAGAGGCGCCAGATCATGGATTTTGGCCGAGCCCTGAACCTCTAAAGCAAAAACAGTGCTCAGTTGGACCGAATGTAAGTCCGCGACCGCGAGCCCGGGTCCCCCCAAAAAATCAGGAGCGAAACAGATGGGGGTGTTCTCCGCTTAGGGAGGGATCTGCCAAAAAAAAAAATGCAAGGCTGTAGCTTCATGAGGTTGGTATGCGGGCTTCAAAGGGACTCAGTTCTTCCCTGCGCCGTACCCTTTTTCTGTGGCGGCTCAACGGGCACATGACCAACCCTTTTGTGGGTTCCTTTTTTTTATGCCGGTCACGTACGTTTGGCTGAGAAACACGATTTTTGGGCTTTGGTTTCATTTACACACCGTATACCTCTAACATCTCTAACTCCATCTCTGACTTTCCCGGGAGGTTAGATTTGCCCATTGCTTCGCGTTGCGTTGCCAACGGTATCGCAAGGCCCGGGAATTTCCAGTCCAAATTTTGGCCAGAGCCAAGTCGAGTCGTGTGTGCCGAGTGGTGCCAAACCGAAGGAGGACATGCCCCCGACGCCAACTTGGGTCAATGCTACCCCTGGATCGAAGCAGAACTCCTGGTTGAGGTTGAGGGTCCTGGTGCCCCCTTTCAGTGGGTTTGGAAGGGAACGCCCCGTCTAAAAAAACGAAGCGCCTAGGAAGGTCCAAATCCCTAGCTCGACACATAGCTCGATTCAATCTCACCGCAAGCCCTAAAGAAGGTAAAGCGTAAAGCTAGCTGCAGAAGTCCCCAAAAGGGATTTCGGTGTCCTTTTGGTTGTTTTATCCTTTTATTCCAACCAACCAACCACCTGGAGTCTCCCTAAGGACCCTTTAAAAATGGTTGGTCATGACCAAAATACTGGTTGGTCATGGACCTTTTTTTTCAAGGGTTTTTTTGAGACTCCAGGCACAAGTCCCTAACAAGGCCGTTCCCAGCGCGGCTTGGTGGCTTGGTGGCCAGGGCGTGGTGATTTGGAGGGTTCCCCCAGTGAACGGGACCCAATCCCTCTTCACTATAATGGGAAGCGGTTCTTCTAAAATCGGTGGTGAATTCACCGAAATCCAACCCCATGGCCATATAAGCAACTAAAGAAAAAGGATCCGCCCATCCCAATCACCCCATGGCCCTATCCCAATCGCCGGTTTTGGTGATTTGGATCTCAATCCCCAAAACCCTCCTGGAAAGCCGTATGGCCGTTTTTTTTTTGGACGGAACCCCTATTTGGATCATTTTTCCCGTATGGTCATTTGTTGCTGGCCGGTGGCCGCCCTTCACGTACTTGTAGGGTCCTGACTGGCTGTCCGGGTACAGTGTGATGGCCGTGTCCGACACCCACTTGCCGTCCTGGACATGCTTCCGACACAAATCAATCAGTAATAGTCAGTATATCTCAATATGCCCTGAGTTTGTCCAGACTAACTCGTTCCCTAGCAGAATATTAGAGAATGGCTGGCCACGTGTTTGGCCGTATGCAACCCGAATTTGTTGCAACCAATTGTTGACAACAAGCCGCAAATCACCGTATGGCCCCCATTTTTTCGTGGCCCAAGCCGTACGGACCCGACCAAAAAAACCAAAAAAAAACGTCACATCGAGCCCCGAAAAGGGGTTCCCCGGGGAGCTCGGAGCTCCGAGATGGGCGAAGAACTGGTGGCTCAAGGCGAATCGACCAGGTCTGACCTTTGGGTTGTCCCATTTTGGTGAAAACTTGGTGACCCCAAAAGGTTATCACCTGTTAAATGGGTCCTTTGGGCAACTGAGAAAAGAATCCTTTTTGAGGTTGATTTGGCTGAAAAGTGGAGGGCGATTCCTGGTTTACCTGGTGGTGATTGATCAACTACCAGGGAATCCATCTATTTTCCCGAGAAAAGGATACCTATGATCCCAAGGTGTGGACGAACGCCAACCCGCCCAAGCCCCCTGTTTCTCATTTGCTGAGAAGTGAACAGCTCACCAAAGCACTTGGCTTCAGTTGAACTTCCTCAGTTCGAAGACCCACGGATATTACATCATTGGTTGTGTGTCTGCTTTTTGTTTTGCAACCTTTGCCATGAAGCTGGAGGTTCACTTGCCCAGTGGAGATGTTTTTTCTGTAGAAGTCTCACCGGCGACAACCATCCGCGAGCTGAGAGCTGCAGCTCAGCAGCATTTCCGGCGCCGTTTGAAGCTCGTTGCGAAAGGCTGGCAGCTCGATTTGACGGCCACGCTGAGAGAGGCCGGGCTGCAAGATGGTGACGTGGTGCTTGCGGTTGCGCAGCTGGGCAAGCTGGCTGCCACTGCATCGGCGTTTGCTTTGCATGGCCACGGGGACGAGGTTGTGACCTGGGGCAATGCGCAATCCGGCGGAGACTGCAGCCACGCGCAAGAACAGCTGAGGAACGTCCAGCACATCCAAGCAAGTAGCGGTGCTTTTGCAGCCATTCTTGAATCTGGGGCTGTGGTGACCTGGGGTCATCGAGAATGGGGAGGAGACAGCAGCCAGGTGCAAGAGCAGCTGAGGAACGTCCAGCACAGCCAAGCAGCTAGCGGTGCTTTTGCTACCATTCTTGAATCCGCTGTTGTTACGTGGGGTATGCCACACCGTGGCGGAGACAGCAGCCAGGTGCAAGAGCTGTTGAGGAACGTCCAGCACATTCAAGCAACCAACTTGGCTTTTGCGGCCATTCTGGAATCCGGGGCTGTTGTGACTTGGGGCGATCCACAACGTGGCGGAGACAGCAGCCAGGTGCAAGAGCAGTTGAGGAACGTCCAGCACATCCAAGCAACTGACGGTGCCTTTGCTGCCATTCTTGAATCCGGGGCTGTTGTGACTTGGGGCGATCCACAACGTGGCGGAGACAGCAGCCAGGTGCAAGAGCAGTTGAGGAACGTCCAGCACATCCAAGCAACTGACGGTGCCTTTGCTGCCATTCTTGAATCCGGGGCTGTTGTGACTTGGGGCGATCCACAACGTGGCGGAGACAGCAGCCAGGTGCAAGAGCAGTTGAGGAACGTCCAGCACATCCAAGCAACTGACGGTGCCTTTGCTGCCATTCTTGAATCCGGGGCTGTTGTGACTTGGGGCGATCCACAACGTGGCGGAGACAGCAGCCAGGTGCAAGAGCAGTTGAGGAACGTCCAGCACATCCAAGCAACTGACGGTGCCTTTGCTGCCATTCTTGAATCTGGGGCTGTTGTGACCTGGGGTGATCCGCAATACGGCGGAGACAGCAGCCAGGTGCAAGAGCAGCTCAGGAACGTCCAGCACATCCAAGCAACTGACAATGCTTTTGCTGCCATTCTTGAATCTGGGGCTGTTGTAACCTGGGGTGCTCCAACACACGGCGGAGACAGCAGCCAGGTGCAAGAGCAGCTGAGGAACGTCCAGCACATCCAAGCAACCGAACATGCTTTTGCTGCCATTCTTGACCATGGGGCTGTTGTGACCTGGGGTCATCCAAAATACGGCGGAGACAGCAGCCAGGTGCAAGATCAGCTGAGGAACGTGCTGCACATCCAAGCAACTTGCCGTTCTTTTGCTGCGAGTCTTAAGTCTGGGGCTGTTGTGACCTGGGGTGACCCAGAATACGGCGGAGACAGCAGCCAGGTGCAAGAGCAGCTGAGGAACGTCCAGCACATCCAAGCAAGTCGGGGTGCTTTTGCTGCCATTCTTGACTCTGGGGCTGTTGTAACCTGGGGTGCTCCAACACACGGCGGAGACAGCAGCCAGGTGCAAGAGCAGTTGAGGAACGTCCAGCACATCCAAGCAACCGAACATGCTTTTGCTGCCATTCTTGACCATGGGGTTGTTGTGACCTGGGGCAATCCAACCTGGGGCGGAGACAGCAGCCAGGTGCAGAAGCAGCCGAGGAACGTCCGGCCTAAATACGAAGGAGACAGCAGCCAGGTGCTCTTGAGCGGCTGAGCCTTCGTTTTGGGCTGCATGGCCGAAGCACTTGGACCGCGAGGACCCAGCAGAAAAAGCAAATTTCGCAATGCGATGCAAGGAACCATTGATTTCGCCCCCTCAAGACAAAATAAGACAATATATCTCATGGCCGTGGGTCAAATTTCAACCACCAGCCAGCCCCCAAGGCCGGTAATTGGCGTCCCGGGTGAAGTGCCGGCAATTGACCAGCACTTGCCAAAAGCTGGTTTTGTTGTCACAGATGTTTTGCCATCATCAAAGTGCAGTGAGAGGTTACTTTTGTTGAAACGTTACTTCAGGATACCAGAGGGGATCCAGTTGAGGGGTTGGGCTGACATGTACGATCATTGCACATACAACGCGCGACGGGGGAGGGGGGGGCGACACGCTAATGACACGCTCACATCCCAAAAAAGTGACCGTTCAACGTACATGTGCCGGCAATTGGCCACCCCCACGCTCCTCAAGAACCCCTCCCAACGTCAAAGTTGCCCTCCAAACCTCAAATTTGCCAGCCTCCCCTTTCCCCTGCAACCACCCCCCGGACCCTGGAAGGTCACTTGTATCATTGCACAAATTGCACTAAGTACACATGAGTGATACTTGGTTCCTCTTACCAGGGTCCAATTATTTTTGTACCTGGAGTCTCCCTAAGGACCCTTTAAAAATGGTTGGTCATTACCCAAAATAATGGTTGGTCCATGGGACCCATTTTTAGTTCGGGTCATGGAGACTCCAGGTACCTATTTTTGACCCGCAGCCATATCCATGTCGAGAGAAAGCCGCGCCGCAGCGTCTTAGGCATCATGCTGGAGCTGATGCAGAAAGAGCTGGACCCGGAGGACGAGAAGCGCCACGAGAGCAGTCGGGTAGGGCCTTTGGGTCAACGTCCATTTGCTGAAATGAATAGTTTTTGTTTTTCCTCTTGGCTTTAAAGGGCATCTATGACTACTGTTGTTTTTTTGGTTCAGGGGGCTTAAGCAAATGGAGGTCAAAGGAGGCGGGGGTTCTATTGCGCTCTGGAGAATATATGGCTGTGGTTGTCAAATCCGTTTGGGATGCCATTTTTGGGGTCGGTGAATTTACCTCCCATTTTAGGCTTCCTATTTTAGTGGTTGGATTGAATCGGATGTTCACTGGGAGCTGGGGCAGCCTGTTTTCATGTGGGTGTGGCTCAAAATTCCAGAGCTAGGGCAAACCGCAGGTTTCAGTCTTTTGCTTCCATTTGCCAAGGTGCCATGTGAGTGTTCTTTTTTATTTATTCCCTTTAAAATTGCATTGACGTATCAAACCCTTCCGCGAAACCTTCCACTCATGTGCCAATGTTTGGAGCAGCCATATGGCCATGGGTCAAAAACCCGTACCACTCTGATTTATGATTGGCTATAGGGAAATTCATTGAAGTCCCAATGAAGTTGTGCGGCCGACCTTGTGGTGTTTGGGCAGACCCATGCAATACGTGGTTCTCTTGGTGACTCCCAGCCATCCGGTCCCTTAGCTTTTTAGCCTTTTACTGTTTAGTGGTAGTTAAGCCACTAAAAGTGAGCCCCACTTTTTGCGGGGGATCGATTCGCAAAACGGGCAGCCCGGTTTTGACCGTGACTTCGTGGGATGCACCATGTTCGAGCCCTTGTCTGATTGAGTCGGTTTCCCGACTCGGCAGCCGTTGAACAAGGGTGTCCCCGGAGCTACTGGCCAACTGGGACACTGTAACCTGGAGCCCAAAAGACCACTTTCTTTGGCTTTGTACCACTTCTTTTTTCTGGGTCAAAGGCAATGAAAAGGGATCGGTCTTTTGGAGGTCCAAGAAGGTTGCTGCTTTTTAGGTTGCAGTTCACAACTTACCCCTCAGAAAGAGTTGCCTCCTAGCCCCGGTTCTCCACATTTCTAAGCCCGGATAAATGGGTGTGTTGTTTGGAATTGGCAGGCTTGGGGTTGTTTTACAAGGGTGTTCTGGATTTGACGGTTTTTCCGCGCATTTGTGGTGAAGGGGCGCTTTCAGGGGCAAATGACTCAAATGACCTTGCTGGCAAATGACTCAAGGATCTACTACCTGTTCTTAACAAGTATATCAGAATGCCTATATTATACGTGTTCATAGCCATGTTGGTAGAACCAAGCAATGGGTTTACATGGTGGACCTTCTTTTGGTTGCCTGGCGCCCAAAAGACCCCTTTCTATTGCCTTGGACCCGGAAAAAAGTGGTACTTTACGCCGGAAAAAAAAGGGGGAAATTTCGGCCTTTGGGGAGTCCAGTTGGTTGGTCTTAAGGATCAATCGGTATTCTGAGAGCCCGACCAATCCCAGAGCTTCCTCGGCCGTAACTTAGGCCTTTTGTCAACGGCCGTAAACACCCCGGTAAAAAGGCCGTAAAAAAGCCCGTAGGAAGGCCGCAAACAACCTCCGTGTTTAAACGGCCTCCGTAACTCAGGCCTTTGGACTCCCTGGGACTTCACGTTCGTTTGTCCAATGGTGGCACTCCGAAATGGCCACAGTTCCCCTTCAACCATCCAAAACGGGGTGTCCAACAACACTCAAGGAGCAAGCAACAACACACGCACACACACACACACACACACACACACACACAC